ATATAGTAGACTTAGATAGATACTAGAAGCTTTTATATAAGCTTATTATATTTCTTAATAGATAATTTAAAAATAATACTATCTTCTAGATTAGTAAAAGTATAGAGTTCGATAGTAATAGAATATCTAAGCTCGAGAATAATAGTAAACTTAGCCTATTCTAGTAAGCTTTTAATAACTTTATAGTAACTTCTCTAATTATATATAGTAATTACTAAGAGACTTAGCTAGATATATACGAAAAGTAAGAGGTCGACTATATCGATAACTAGTAGACTAAGAATAAGATTTAAATACTAAAGTATAGAAAATACTATTAGTAAATCGAGAAACTTTAAGAAGATATTAAGATACTATAGTAGTAGTATATAGAATTAGTAGCTATAAAGAATTAACTTAGAGAAGAGAATAATATACTCTATTAGAAGTATAAGAAAGTTAGTAATAAGAACGCTAGCTTAAAGTAAAAATATAAAAACTTTTATAGCTTCTAGTAGTAATTCTAGACTAATAATAAAGCTTTATAGAAGATAAAGCTTATATAGAACTAGTAGTAACTCGAGAAAGATCGTATAGCTTTATAGTATAATAACGTTTTACTTATATAAAGGAAGTAGTAAATAGAGAAAGAGTATATATAGAGATTATAGTAGCTTAAGGAAGAATATATAGCTAGAATAGAGCTTATATCTATAATCTAGGCTAAAGTAAATACGCTTTTCGCCGAACTTAACTTTCTAATACTAGGAATCGCTCGACTATTCCTAGGAAATAAAGCTCTATTAGAGGACGATAGAAATATTATAAGCTTCTATATACTTAAGCCTAAGAATTTTAAAGAAGGAGGCAATTCGCTAATACGTAGCATTAAGCGATCTATATTAGACGCTAGGGCGAGCGCGATCCTAGAGGTAATTACTCAAAATTTCGTACTAGACGTACCGCTAAGTCTATTCGCAGAGACTGCAGCGGACTCGTCGGTCTGCGCTATCCCCTGCGCTATCTGAAGAGGACAGCAAGCCAGTCCTCGCCGACACTTGCTACACAACCTATTAAAGGACGGGAGAGCAGGGATCGTCGTCACTAATGCACGCGTTTAGCGCTTGGTAGTGACCACGTCTCGAGCGAGCGAGCAGATGGGGAATCGCAGCATACTCTTGGTCAGCATATCGGAGAGCATGCACTTTATGTAGCGGCTCGCGACAGATTCGAGGTCCCAGCTTCAATCGATACTATCCGCAGTTCGATCTCTCCTTTGTATGCCATGAGCGACAACAGCTCGATTCTGTGAACGCAGAGATGGACTGTCGAAGCTGTACAAACGCATGAAACATGCCGTGAAACCTGTCCGACCGTGAGCGGCATGCGTGGGGTCCACGTGTGCGAGGAACTGGCTCTTCCAGCACGTTCTTCTCTCGTGCGGAAGCATAAAAGCAACGTTTCCGCGGAGAACAAGTCCTCTGTCAAACCGGAGAATTCGGAGCCGATTCCAGCCTGACGCCTTCATCAGCTCAATGTGCCGTTGTCTGGATGGGTCGATCGCGATGCCAAGATGACCAAGCTTTGGCCCTTCTCCTGACCAAGATGCTCTTTCAACCTCACTTCTTCCAACAACCTCACATGCACTCTATCTTTCTCAGCGACTTTGACCTGACCAGCGGACGACGGAAGTCTCATCTTGTCTTGCGAAACATTCCACCTCGCTGATGGTGCTGGAGCCTGGGGCCACATCCCGTCTTTCATGCGGCTGCGATCCTTCAGCCTTGCCGGCCCGCCGGCTCGCAAGATTATGAGTCGCTAGCATAGACGCCTGCGGCTGACGACCCTATGAGCATATGCGAAAGACGCCATACCAGCGTTTTGGCAGAACTACTGCACGATGCTCCATGTTGTCACGACTCGACACGGGAATGCCACTATGACCCCCATGAGCAAGTCGTTCTGTTCGATGGCATTGCATTCCAAGATTTGGCCTTCACAGCTGGTACTGAGCACCACCTTCGAGCCCTGGGAGCCGACAAGCCTGCGAGTAGTTACAGCAATCCAATAGCACTGTTGTGCCGTGCGTGCCTGGCAGTTTGTGGTCCGCATCGACCTGCCAAGTCCCCGAGATTTGTCAAACAGGCTAGCATCAAGCCTCTTCATGCCCTCCTTACTTCTGGCATCTTAAAGGAAATCCAAACGCGGCTTGCTCTGCCGAAATTGAAAGTATGGCTGTTTTCTTCACTCCTTTGCGGCCAGCCTTGTTGCTGCACTCCGCTTTCGGCTGAATATTGGTGGCGGCCGATCCAATGCCATATCCCGCGATCAAGAAAGTAAGATCGTATCTTAACGAAGGTGATAAAAGAACGCAAACCCCACAACAGAGACAAAGCTCAAGTCCACGAAGGTGTACGACCCACCATCATCATGCTGCTCACTTCCACGTACGCTCTCTTGGCGGTCCTGGCTGGACAGGCGTTCGCCGGAGACATTGTCAAATGCTACACTTCTATGACAAATAAGAAGCCGCAAGGCTATGTTCCAACCAAGACTGAGACGCATTACAGTACGTGACGAGTTTAGAGATTATGAGACTGAAAGCAAGCTAACAGCGCTCAAGCCCCATGCACTACCAAACAAACCAAGCCTGTGTATACAACCAAGACACCAAAATACACAACCACCAGAACCGAGTACACCACAACCTACGTCACTGAACCCAATAAATACACATCCACCGTGGTCGTAACCGTCACCACGAGCACCAAGAAGGCCACCGACACAAAGACAAGCACTTCTACATCCACATCCACCAAGTCGGTTACTTCTACAGTCACGGAGCGAGCACCAGCAAACTTCACTCCCATCCAGTCCTCGCTTCCAAACTCTTCCAACAGTGGCGCTGCAGGAGGTGCTCCAAGGAGGAAGCGGTCTGAGACTCAGCTCACCAAACGGGCCTCCAACAAAGGCTACGGAAAGTCCTACCCCAAGAAAGTGACATGTCACAAGTACACGAAAGACAAGAACTGCGCTACAAAATACGTCACTACTACCAAGACAGTCTATGCCCACCCCAAGACTTACACTGAGAAGGTATTCAAGCTGCACCTCTCTCAGCAGCGCAAGTGTACTAACTATTCTGCGTGACTGCTAGACCACAAAAACCCAGACTCAGACCAAATGTCCAAAGGCCAAAAAGACCACCACATCTACTAAGAAGGTCGACAAGACGATTACGGTAATGCGAAACACAGTGCCTCATTGTAAGACACCCGCAAGCTGACATCATTCGACAGGTTGGAACAACCACAACCACTGTGACAACAACCACGACCAGCAGCACGACGGTCGCAACGACTACTGTCAATGCCGCGTGCCGTCTAAGGACCAACTACGCTGACAAAGTGTCTGGCATTGATATCGTTGAGGCAATAGAAGATCCATTTGGCAGAGCGGGCGTCAACCTCTTTCAATTCCAGGTCCAAGACGCCTTCGAGTGCTGCAACGAGGCTTTCAGCCCGCGGACTGAGGCGGAGGACATAACAGCCCCAGAGGTCTGGGCTTTCGATAGGCGCAGGAATCCAAATAACAGAGAGGAAATCATTGGTTTCTGTACGCTTCTCGGAACAGAAACTTGCGGTGCAGGGCAAGCGAACGGGCGATGGCAGCTGCTGAACGAGGAGCAGGCGTGTGGTCCTGTGGACCAACTCAACGTCGTCGCCGGGCCATTGTTCGGAAACGCACCTTGCGGATTGGGAATTGGAAGCTCCGGACAATGTCCTCCTCCACAACCAGAAGAGTAGAGACATTATAGCAGCTGTACAGGACCAGGACTTCCTACGACTTAGTGGAGGAAATACTGATGTGCTCATAAAGCTGTACATAAGATATAGGATAGCGCCCTACTTTACTCCAGCGGTTTCAGATGGAACTTCAAGCCCACCGGCTTGACAGTGATACTGTAGATCAACCGTATCTTCATATCTGGATCGGTGAGCCGAATGTCGAACCGCCTGACAATCGCCGCGAGCAAAGCAGAAACTTCCAGAATGGCAAAGCCCTGGCCAATGCAGCTTCGGGGTCCAATATTGAACGTCATGAAGAGATTGTCTGTGGCGTGCCTTTCAGAGTCGAGCCATCTCTCAGGACGGAATTCCTTCGCATCGGCCCCCCATTCCTCCGTTCTTGTATTGAAGTGCTCGTGCAGGCCAATAATACTGGTACCGTTTGGAATGGCGAAGCCTGCAATATGAGTGTCTCGCTTGGCTTCGCGACGAGTGACTGGCGCAGTTGGGATCACGCGTAGGCACTCACGTACTACTGCCCGCAAGTATGGAAGCGACTCCAGGAGCTCAGCTGTGACCTCCGTCTCTGCATTGTTGTCAGAGGATAGCGACGAACGCAGTTCAGCCCTGAGACGTTCTTGCACAGCAGGATTCTTCGCCAGCGTATAGCAGGCCCATGTCACTGCCAGACTTGAAGTCTCGTGACCAGCTGCGAGAACATTCAACATCTGCCCAGCGAGTTCTGTATCATTGAACGACCCAGTCGACATGGCATAGCTCAATATGTCCGTCCCTTCAGATTCGCTCGCATGCCTATCCGCAATGGCTTTCCTACAAGCTTCATTGATCGCTCGAGCTCCACGGGCAATATTTTCAAAGAACTCGCAAGGGAAAAACTTGGCCAACGTCTTCATAGGAACCACCAGTCCAGCCGCATATGCCAATTTGGCTTGACGATTCGCCTTAGGACTGCCGCGAAACATACGATGATACCTCATGACAGTCTCAGTACGAGGATTCTCTAGTGCGTGGAAATCTTTGCCCCAAGCAGCCACTCCGATGATGTCCAAAGCAGCTCGGGATGTCCATGGTGTCAGCTCAAGATCCGCACCGTTACGCTGCACGTCTTCACGGAGTAAATCTGCGAGCTTCCACGCTTTGGACCACATTGTCGGAACCAGCGCTCGAATATTTCGAGGTGCAAAAGCAGGCAGCATCTTCTTCTTCTGTGCACGATGCTCCTCGCCGTCTGAGACCAAGAGTCCATTGCCGAACATGGCCAGTCTCTGCCTGTTGAGCGGCGGCTTCTGAAAGTCATTGTACGGCTTATCGATGAGGACTTCTCGCAGTGCATTTGGACTGAGGATGAGCACACGCTCTGCTCCGCCTATGCCTGGATATCGGACGAGATCGTGGTTCTCCGGCAGCTTCTTCACCCATTGCAATATTTCAGCTGGCTCGGGCTCTTTGTACGTCCATCCATAGAGAGCAGTTCGCCAGTCGACTTTGACTGCAGGTATGTGTCGAAGAGGACTTAGCAATCTTCGTGAGAATAACCATGCCAGTACAATTGCAGCGAGCGATCCTGCCAAAGCCCAGCCTGAGGGCAAGATTGACGTCTTGTGCAGTGTGCCAAACATTTTCCATGCGGCGAAGACGATTTGCGTTTCTTCGCGGGTCAGTGCTTGCTGAATGCTTTCGTCCAGCATACAGCATTGATGAGGTGGTCCAACACGACTGCGCGCTGTACATACCCAATCGAGTGCATGGAGGATCTGCAGCTGTGATGCATGGCCGTGCTGAACATCGGCGTGGCGTTGTCAGCACCATGGAAATATACGACGCCACCTACAGCTTTCAAGCTGCAGAGTGTAGATCGATCTGAATCGTCTCGAGTGCTCAACTCCGCAAAGCTGCAGCAACCATTCGTGGTATAGCAGGTTTGTGTGACGCACTTGTGCAGCAAGCGCTTAGGCGAGGGGCGGCAAGCTTGCAGCGATCGGCAGAGTCGAAAAGGAGCTCGGCATGATATAGTGATGGACGCCTTGGCATGCTAGCAGAGCATCAGACGAGCCGTGCTTGGAGATGCATATTCAACCGCTTTTGCACTGTGCCTTCCTGCCAAATGCCTGCCAACATTGTTCTCACGGGGTCTTCCGGCAACCTCGGAACGTATCTGCTCAACGACTTGGTCGCCTCAAGCCATGTCGACCGTATCTGGTGTCTCAATCGATCACAAGATGCCGGAGAGCGCCAGTATGACCTCCTGCGAGAGAGAGGCTTATCGGCCTCAGTTCCAGAGACGGTAAAATTCCACAAGTATGATGTTGCCTCGAGGAGGCTTGGCCTGGAACCCTCCGTTTATCAAGACATCACTGAGAATGCCACCCATATACTCCATGCAGCCTGGCCTGTGGACTGGAACAAGTCGTTCTCGTCGTTCGAGAGCAGTATTCGAGGAGTCTCCAATCTGATTGAGTGCTGTGCAAATTCAAAACACTCGCCAACATTATACTTCGTATCCTCAGTCGCAGCTGCTGGAAATTGGGGTGCTGTTCCTGGCTCACGACAAAGCGTTCCAGAAGACGAGATCGATGATTGGAAAGTTGCACGGCTGGGATATGGCCAGTCGAAGCTGGTAGCAGAGCGCCTACTCGCAGAAGCATCTCGAGCAAAGGGCGTGACGACAGCAATTTGTCGAGTCGGGCAAGTTGCAGGTCCTGTCGAGCATGGAACTGCAGGCTCGTGGCCGCGACAAGAATGGTTTCCCAGCCTCATTGCGTCCTCGGCATATCTTGGAGTACTACCAGACTCACTTGGCCCAGCAGAGAACATTGACTGGACACCTGTCGATCAGGTCAGTTCAATCGTGGTTCAATTGTTGTTCTCGGACCAGAAAGCAGGTACTGCAGTATTCCATCACATCACAAACCCAAGCTCCACAGAGTGGCGAAGAATTGTGCCTGGTGTGAAAGCTGCACTTGAACAGCATGGCGCAAATGGGGGGAAGAGCGAGCCTGCGAAGACCATCCGTCTTACAGGTCTCGTCGAATGGGTCGAGGCGCTGGAAGAAAGTGCACGAGATGAGTCTGCAGACATATCTGGCAACCCAGCAGTGAAGCTATTGTCATTCTTCCAGAATCTCAAAGACAAGTCCATCCACCTTCCCAAAGCGAGAGCTGCCACATTGGAGGTAAAGCGGACTCGTCTCAGAAGTTCCAAGATGCAGGAATTGGATTGTGTCAATCAAGAATGGATAAGTTTGTGGATGAAGCAGTGGGATGCAAAGTAGTTGTAATTAAACCAATTCAACCCCTGTCAACTTTGGTCCAAATAGCTTCATCTTACCTCCTCAAAGTTGCACTCTTCGGCGCTGAAAGCCATCCACCTCGCACCAGATTCCGCATGGCCTCACCTCCATCTAGGCCAGCCAGATCATCGTCAATATCTTCAATTCCTTTGCCTGTCACAGATACCGCGCGCCCTGTGAGGACAGTAGAGATTAGCAATTTCACTTGAGTTTGGTAACCCCAGCATGTACATACCACTCATTTGCCCGTCCAAAAGCATCCGTAAAATACCATCTATCACATCCTCCATACGACCCACGCGGACGCCCTGTTTCTCCAGTGCTGGAACATGATGTTGCGTTAAACTGGTAGGAACCCAGAAAGGCGCCATCATATTCACGCGTATACCATGCTGAGCCAGCTCCTGTCGTATATTCCTGAAGTACCCGCGGACGCCCCATTTTGCAACGCTGTAATCTATCTTGCCATTCAAAGGCCGAAACCCAGAAGTCGATCCGAGCAAGACTACCGATTTCCTCGATGAGCCTATTGCATTACCAAAAGCTTCAATGCTCATGCAGTACTTCGTAGCGATATCAACGGAGTACATTGTTCCAATGAGATTCACATCAAGGCATTTCGTTGATGGCCGAGGCAAAGCTTGCCGCTCTTCTACACTCCGCTGATGAAGAGACACTCCGGATGGCTTGGTAATGTTCAAATCAGAGCTAGAGCCAATTCCCGCAGTAGTGATAAGGGCGTCCAGATCATGGCCGGGTAAGAAGTTCAGTGCTTCCGCAAACATTGCGAGCTGAGAATCCCAAGAAGCAACATCGACTTCGATGAACTTGACCCGCCGTCGATTCAGTTGGGCTTGCAGAGCGTTTCCCAACTCAACATTCTTGTCAGCGATAACAACGGAAGCTCCAGCAGCTGCAAGTCGACGGCAGCATGCTTCGCCAATACCAGATGCGCCGCCCGTGACCACGACTCTCAGGTCTGCCAGAGCTGCTTCATCCACCAGGAATTCGCCATCTCCAAAAGTGGTGTGGCCAGCTTTATCGGCTTCAACTTCACTCTCGAGTTTCGATGCCATTGCAATGCTGAGTCACGCTCCGTAATGTCCTGGCGAGAAGACAACGCAGGTTAGATCTGGTGATGACGGATGGAGACCAGCAGGAAGCGAAGGCTGGGCCAGCGATCTGCACCGAGCTCCCACTGTGGTAGCTCTCCCGCCGATCTGTCTTTGCGAGCCAAGCAACACTCGACTGCAGCGGGGAGCATTCTACAACTGACAAACTGGGTCGAGCACAAAGAACTGGAGGTCGCGTAACAAGGTCATTGCTCAGACTGTGCTTGCGAGAGACAACGATGGCGAACAGAGGATTTCGATTCTGACAGCTATTTATGCCCCTTCTCTTCGTCGACATGCCTGTCTCTGGATCTTCGCAATAGATACGGAGCCTTGTTCCTCCCATTATCCTCATACAATCTCCTCCGCTTCCAAGCCTCTCGTGCGGTCACAGAATAGAACACCACGGCTACGAAGCAGCAAGCACCGATCCAGCACTGCGATCCCAAAAAGCCGTTCGAGACGTTGTTGAGCGCCAAAGCGACAGGACTGCTGATCAGAAATCCCACTCCTGCGACCGCATACAACATGCCAAGTCTTGTTCCAAACACAGCCAAGTTCGGGCAGATGTACGGTAGGACAGTTGGTGGCAATGTGACGATAACCCCAGACACAAATCCAAATGCCACAAGCCAAACAATGTAGCCGCCGACTTGGTTGACAGCTATCCACGAGAAGCCCAAGACTGCTGCGAAGACCTCAGCACCAAGTAAAATCAACTCAGGTCCCAGCCAGTCGGCGAGGATTGCAGGAATAATACGACCGAAGAACTGTGCGCCGTTCATGATTGCCAGAACGTAGAATGACAAGTCCTCGGACAATTCTAGATCAACGAGCGCATATGTGCTGACCAGGAAGTAAGGCACGAGAACTCCTGCGAATAGCAAGAATCCAGCTATCAGGAAGCTCAGGTAGGGCAATTCTACTAGTGCAGATGCATCGAACAGCTGTCGACTAGACCGCGATCCGATGGGCTTCAGAAGCAAGACCGCTACAGTGAGCGTCAGGAGCGAGATGAAAGCAATCACCCGGGTGGCCCAGCCAAATCCGACATCGTCCAAGAGCCGTCGAAAGATTATGGGATAAAGTACTCCACCCACTGAGCCGCCTGCGGTCGCGAGTCCAATTGCCAGGCCGCGGCGAGACTTGAAGTACAGGGGTATCAGAGCGATACTCGGAATGTAAAGGAAACCCGAACAGATGCCGACCAGAATTCCCTGAGAGAGCATGATCTGGTAATACTTGGTTGAAATGCTAAGCATCATCATTCCGAGTACCAGACCGATTCCAGCAAGTATCGTTGTCGTCCGAAAGTAGCCCTTGTCGAACAACGGACCAGAGACAACGCCCACTACAAGCAAAAGCGTGCCCTGCACAGTCCCGATCCAAGAGATTGCCGATGGAGAGCTACCTGCCAGAAGACTTGTCTCGTAGTACGCCTGGTATACGCCAAAGCTGTTGACGAGGCCCCAATTGCTTACATTGATGAGAAAAGACCCGAGTACTTGTTGCCAGGCCACCATTCCACCATCAGGCTGATATATGGGTGGACTCTTCTTAGATCGGAGAAGACTAGCGAAGCCCTGTCGCTTGCTACTGCCATCACCTGCAGGTCGGAGCTCCTGGAAAAGGTCATCCATAGATTGCCATGTTCGCTTGTCCACCTCATCATCCTCACTCAAGTCGGAGTATTCTCTCACACAAACTCCAGTGGTCAAAGCGAGTGCCAGCTGTTCCACCGTCGGATGATCATACACGAACATAGCATTGATCTCACGAGAACTTTCCCCACGAGACGTGTTGATCTCACGCACAAGGTTGATGACCTGGAGGGAGTCCATACCCATCGAGAAGAAATCGTCATTGCTCTGCAATTGGCTCGGTTCCAGCTCTAGGTGATGACAAAGGTACATTTGGATCGACTTTTCGGCGCTTGACATATCATCAAGAACAATATGCGAGCCGGAGACTGTTGTTTTGTTCTTCGGAGCCTGCTCTGTATAGCTGGCCTGTATCTCCTCCCGATAGACGGCGACAGCACGAGCGCGCTGAATCGTTCCCTTCGCCGCCCGTGGTAGTGGTTTCTCAGCCGTTGTGAAAATCAATTTATCTCCTGCAATGCGTCCGTGAGACGGGCAAAGCTTGTTGGCTCGATCGATGTACGGCTGGACTTGGCGAATACAATCCTCAAAGGACATGGAGGATTCTTGCCTTTCAATCAGCAATGCGGTCTGGAACTGCCCTTGTCCGACAACCAAGCAGCCCTTAACAGCAGGACACGTGGTGATCAAGCCTTCCATTTGCACAGGGTTCAACTTCTCCCCGTTGCTAAGAACGATCACATCGTCCAATCTTGCTTCATACTTCCACAGTCCAGGTTCTGTGGGATGTCTCGTGAAGAGATCCTTCGTGTGATATTCTTCCAAGTCAGGAAATGTTACAAAAATGGCTTGAACCAGATTTGTTATCTCATTGAATCCTCGTACAAAAACCATCTCATAGAGTCCAGGCTGTTCGGTTTCACGGAATTCCAGCCCTGCTGATTCTGTATCGAATTTGAAGTATTGCCAATTCCCGTCTTTCTTCGGCAGCTGAGGTATGCCACCATACTCCGTCGCACCCAACGACGAGGTCAGTTGTGTAAGTTCAGACAACCGATCAGCTACATCATCAGAAAGAGGTCCGCCAGAGTAGGTCAAGCTCTTCAAATGCCCTAGTTGAGCTCGCCAAGTGTCATTTTTAGCCAATTCACTTATCAAGGAGGGAGTCAGCATGCTGTGTCTCGCTTGACCGTGGAGGTGAACAGTATGGCACAGTTCGGCGCTTAGAGGAGCTCCTACTGGAGGCAAGACCACCGTAGCGTCGTACCACAGGGCGATTGGAAGACCATAGTTGAGACCAGCGAGATGAAACGGCGGAAATGGCACGAAAATTCGATCATTCACGAACCGTGTTGGGTGCTGAAGCATGCGATAGGTATCGACGGCCGAGACGAGTCCATGCTTGATGTGCACGACCTTTGGATTGCCCGTGGATCCGGATGTGTGAAGGAGCACCCATGTCTTGAACCGATATTCCTCAAAGGTCGCACTGAATGGTCGCAGCGGTACTGGAGTCTCGTCCAGGAATTCTTCCAGGGGACGTATTTCGACCCGATGCATGGACCTGCGTTCCACAACGCCGCGTACAAGTGCACTTGGATTTGCAGAGGATATGATCTTGGTTGCCTGGGCATCTTCACAGAGGAGCTCCAGAGCATCCAGAGTGTTGCGAGGTGACGGGAAGAACATCTTTGCACGAGATTAGCTGAGAATTACCACGAGCTACACCAGAACTGAACATACTACATGTCCGCTCTTCACTGCAGCCAACGCCAGAATGTGATACCGCAAGTCTGGTGCAGCAATGTAGACTATTGGCTCAAAGTTCGAAGACCTGCCAAATTGCTGTTCTAGCCAGCCTGCACATCGATTGACGGCATTCGCGAAGACCGCGTAACTGATATCTCTGAATCCATCGCTGGGTGTTGTAGACACCGGAATGGAGACAAATGGCTGTTGATGACCCGCTGCTGCTCTCTCATCGACGACAATGTTCATCAACCTCCGACCGTACGGAACGGACAAGGTCGTCTGGCCGTCTGCCATGGCTTGCCGAGAGTGGTCTGCAGCAATTGTGGATTGTGAGGCATCTGCTGTTGCGTCCTGCCATGTCGACTGACCAATGCTGGAAAATGTGCCACGATGGTCATCGCCAAGTCGACAACCGCATAGCCGTCGGCGGTGCGCCCGAAGCGCAAGGTTTGTGTGGTTCAGTTCGGGAAAAGATCTGTATTGCCCCTTCTGGGAAGTGTCAACATTGCCTATCACAGCAGTGATCGACATTACGCACTCTTGAGTTCTGTGGCATTACTAGTGACTGCATGCCAAGTGGACCAACGCATCAACCTACCACTTCCCCGGACACCAGCTCATCTTGCAGCCGTCAGTGTGACGGAACGCTTACCCCAAGCCCAAGATACACCTGGAGTGGTGCCGACATCGCGATTCAAGAGGGGACATAGGTGGCTGACCAGGGACGTCTGGGCAGCTGAGGCCGTCAAAATGGGCGGGGCAAGCTTCTGGCCTTTTGGTCATTCGAAGTGCTTGTTGATGAGCTTTCGTGTTCTGCAGAACCGAGAATCGGTGGAGACGTGATGGAGAACTGCAAAGTCATAGAACACATTGTTCCCTGCTCTCACATACGAGAATATGCAAGGTCGACGGCTAACAGAGAAGACGATGATCTCCATCTTGCTGTGAAGCAGTACAAGCCGCTATACGAGCCTCAGGATGGCGACTTGACCATCATTGCATGCCATGCCAGCGCGTTCCCAAAAGAACTCTATGAGCCGATCTGGGATAAGCTATTCGCGCAGGCGATATCGAAGTCCGCAGGACGGCGAATCCGCGCGATATGGATAGCAGATGTTGCCAATCAGAATAAGAGCGGAGTCTTGAACGAAGGGAAGCTCGGCAATGAACGCAAGTTCACCTCGATATCATAACAATCTACCGCAATCTGACAGAGAAACAGCTTCATGGTACGATCATGCTCGAGATTACTTGCATCTTGTCAACTATTTTCGCAAAGAGATGATCCGTCCGCTTGCAGGATTCGGCCATAGTATGGGCGGCAATGTCATCGTCAACCTGGCGCTACTACACCCACGACTGCTTTCCACGATTGTTGCGATTGAACCTATCATCAAGAAGGGCACTGCGGACATGGACTTCATTGGCACCTATTTCTTAACGTTGAAGAAAGACAAGTGGCCCTCACGAGATGCAGCTATGTCTTCAATACTCAAGAGCCCATTTTATGCACACTGGGACAAAAGAGTGTCCGGCATCTTTCGACGAGAAGGTCTGCGAGAACTCCCAACAGCCGTGTATCCAGACGACCCCTCTGAATCGAAGGACACCGTAACGTTAACTACTACAAAGCATCAAGAAGCATTGTCATTTGCACGGAAATCATTCCCAGATTCGCGCGACCAACCTCTATCCGAATTCACACCAAACCGAGTTGCTCACCCTGACCTGGGTGACGAGAGGAATCGTGGAAACGCTTTTTACAGGCCCGAGAACACGATGACGTTCGAAAAACTCCCATACCTCCGTCCGGCATGTCTCTACATTTACGGCAGTAAATCACATTTCAAGAGCTCTCACGCGAAAGGCAGGAAAGAGAAGACCGAGGCGACAGGAACAGCAACAGGAGGCAGTGGAGGCGCTGCTGAAGGCAAGGTGAAAGAGTTGGTAACGAATGGCTCTCACTTTGTTCCATTCGAGCGTCCAGACGCGATAGCCGAGTTGGCGGGTCAGTGGTTCGATCAGCAGCAGGAAGAGTGGCATGCTCTTGAGGCGGCTGAGCGCAAGTATTGGGAAGGAGTGCCACAACAACAGAAGGCGATGATGGATGGAGATTGGATGCATTGGGTGAACAAGATCTGGGGCAAGCAGGTTTCTGCAGCAGGAAAGAAACGTTCGCCGGGCCCTTCCTCTAAATTGTAGATTCGCAGTGCGTGTTGGTGTTGACAGATGGTCCCAACAACTCGATTTCCGGTGATATTCGCAACCTCCGAGCCCCAATGCCATGATGCACGACAAGTTCGCTCCAATGTATCTGCGTGCAAAGAGCTATCCGCCTACCACGTCGACTTGGCAGTGACCTAATGCGGCGTTTGAAAGTTCGAAGCGATGTCGGAGAGTTCCAGTCATGCTCTGTCTATAGTCTCCCGTGCCTGTTGCTGATCGACATAACGTGGCGCTTTAGGTCGAGTCAGCCCGCTCACCTTCTCCACTATCTAAGCACTTGGCTCGACATTACATGGTGTACCCTTGATCCATTCGTGCACTTTCCACGACCAGACGGGGAGGTTCAACGTGGCGGTGCTGAAGCGAGCCTTGAACTCACGATGATCACAGGACGGAATGCTTGATTCGAGCTCAACGGCAGAATTCTACCAATCCTACGCTCACAACAATTGCTTGAAGGAAGACTCGGCACGGGCTACAAGACCATACTTTCGCGGCCGTGCCGCAACTACTCATCATCCCCATCAAATGCTGTGCCACTTTCGTCGTGCAGAATCAGCCGCGCCAGCACATATTGGTCGGCAGATGGCGTGGGCGGAAGCATGAAAATCGAACGGACGAATTGGGGAATTCCACATCACTCCGCTTCGAACCAAACCTTCAAATGTGAGCTGCTGAATGTCTCGGTGGTGGTCAGCATCCCCATAATTGATCAAGCCGCGTGCATCATGGCGCCTCTCGGTGCCAGAAGATCGACAAAAGCCATGGCGAGGTGTTTACTCGACCCCAAGCTGAAGTTTGTGAGCATGGGCGTCCTGCAGACGCAACACATGCCGATCTCAGTTCTATAGCGCGCCAATTTCCTGCATCAAGGGCACGACCTTAACATCTCAACGGCTTCAATGATGTCGCCAACACGCCTATCGACGTTCGTGGCTTGAGCCCGGAGCCTCTGCCGGGTCTGCGAATTCCGAGGACGTTTCGCTCAAGCACAGGCTGCATATAATACCTAGCAGCAGTTTCAATGATCGATCCTTTCTCCCATCAACAAGCACTTTCTTCGCCCACAATCTACAAACTCCATCAGCTTCTTTCAAACCGTCGATATGGTCAACCTCCTCGCCTACGGCCTTGCCGCTGCGCTCACATGCCAGCAAGCCCTCGCAGTTCCCACCAACAAGTACTACAACCCAAAGACCAACTACCCAACCTGCAAGAACCGTAAATCGCAAGTCGCAAACGTAGGTGCTTGGGTGACGGTATTAGTACCCCCAATCCGATGACTGATGGCTTCCGCAGTTCGATGATCTCCAGGGAATTCCAGGCAACTTGCTGAACCCCATTCCATCTGGGTACCAGGGTCTGCTCTACCAAGGTTTCTCCTTTTCAACTGTCATTGCTACTGGCACTGGCCTCCAGCCAGGTGTTGCACCACACTCTGGCACAAAGTGAGTTCCGGCTCTGCAACAAATCGCTGCTGAAGGACTATACTGACGAATCGTAGCTACGCTGCCGCCAACCTCGTCACTCAACTCCAAGGAACACCAACCATCACCACATTCTTCCCAGGAAGTCAAACGAAATCCTTCGACCTCGAGAGCTTCTACTTCGGATGTGCTACCATGCTCGGTCAGGGTGCTGCAGCTATCCCTGCCGCATGCAACATCCAAGTCACTGGTTACCAAGGAAGCGACAACTCGGTCAGCAATGCTAAGCAGATCTGCTCGAGACAATTCCAATACAACCCAACAACCGCGCTCGGCACTGTCGAGCAGGCTTTCAGCGGCAAGATCAATGGCTGCAAAGACCTCTCCTTCGCGATTGTCACCTTCTCGCCTCCAGGGGGCTTGGCTGTTACCTCCCCTCTGCTGGCTGTTGTCCTTGATGACATCAAGTACTCCACTTGCAGCAAGTAAAGAAAATCACGACGTCACGAGAACATGTAATATCTTCAAGAGAACATGTAATATGAGTAGATAAACGAAATGCTGGCCATGTGTACGAGAACCATGAAAGCTTGCTCTTCTCAGCTGTCATCTCATCTTGATCTCATCTTGCCGTATTTGGGGGACTGCTTTCTGAGGAAATTCTTTTGCTCGAAGGAATCGAGAGTTGACTGCCCTCAATGAATTTCTACACTCAACCCTCGCCCAAAGTCACACCATCACTTATGACATCGTACGAGAGCAAAAGCATCCCGGAGCAAGTCGTTTCTGGTAGACGACTGTGGACCACGCACGCTATGGCTGCTGCTCTCTCCGTGCGTTCTCTGCATGTACCGACGCGAGCCCGTCATTGCCAGTCGTATTGTTCGTTCCGACTCAAGATCCCTATGTGTCGGCCGTACTTCCGGCGGAATCCCGGTCTGTTCATGATTGCAGTAGGCTGTGGTTTTGTGAGACCACTTGGTCACTCAAACGGCTACATCGACGTTCGAGGCCTATCGCTAGTGACGCACAACAGACGTTCCCAACATATCAGGCTCTGTGCGCGGGCTGTTGAACACGTCTTCGTGCACTTGTACACACCGGCGTGGAGACAATCACCAACGTCCCTACTGGATTCTGACTGAAGACGCTATCTATGGACCCATAGAGTCGCCTTCGGGGCATCCATAAGTGCACCGCCGATGGTCCTATCGGTATGGTCGGCACGGTATATTGTAATGGAAACTCGCCTAGTCGGCTCCATCTGAGAGCTACAGTACCTGCAGACGCCGAGTGGGCACGATACAAAAGACAAGGGCGGACAAGCTGTACAATATATAAAGGGCGCCATTGTTCCGCGTTCAATCTCTCTCTACAAATTACGAAGCAACACCGACTAAACATGAAGGCTGCCGCGCTCTACACCGCCATCGTCATGGCTCTTACCGCCTGGGCTGCTCCAACACCCCAAGACCTCAACTGCCCAAGTCACTGTCACCCCGGCACATTGGAGGACGGTGTACGTCTTCCTGTCAGCAGGATGAACTGATTCTAAACCGGATGTGCATGCTAATTGTGTCATATGCAGACCCCGTGGTGCATTCACAACGTCAGCCCTAGCATGTCTTGCTATGGTTGAAGGGGGAAGACCTACACATACTATCACAACACGAGGTGGATGTCCTGTACGTGTGACATGTTGCCTTCGAGGCGCGATTGCTGCCGGTTCCCCCCATCTGACTAACATTGCACAGGTCAGCGACTCTTGATACCTACTCGAACACTGTAGATAGACGACCATAGCTAATCACATTCATCAATCCCAATACGACATGCATTGGTAATCTTCTTATCGAGACGACTATTTCCTTCGACAGGAGCCTTCGACATAGGCCAATTGACTGTAGAGTGTTATAGATCGATGCTACCGTGCGCCGTGACCTTTGGACGGACACCGGAGGAGCCACCATCAGCATGCAGGTTTTTCTGCTCCCAGACACACTAGCTGAGTTGGGAACAACCAAGATTGTCTCAGCACAAACATGTCCATCGTGTCTGGAACTTTTCGATACTACGTCGGTCCGCGGGCACGCATCAGGATCGCATCATTTGTGCCACTCGCGGAGATCTATCAGCAAGTCTGTTGGTTCTAGAAATGGTCAAATTCCAATCTGACCGCAACTGGTGTAGCTGCTCGATGGCTTGCATCTTTCGAGCGATGCTCGGCGAGAACCAGTAGTCACAACCCGATGGCAGTCTTGCGTGGCGCGTGATGGAGGTGCCGTAACATTAGGAGACTACGATGTAGTGGCATCAACTCGGTTATGCGCAGTCGTGGTGTCCGAACAACAAATTCGCACGATACAGTAGTTGTGGATGAGCAGACATTGCGAAACGGATACTGAACTCTGGCCGTAAGCGGATCAACGAAGTCCCCAACTCTTCACGTTATAACCGCAAGGGCAAATCACTTACACAAATCGGCTTGTAGGCTCGTTGCACAACAAGACCGTCTCGGGAGGGCTGCGCTAACCACGACATTATGATTAACAAGATGAACCTTTGGGCTCTGGTCTGGCGCCCCTGTGCTTCTTGACCGCTCGGCAGCCCACCTGGAACATGTTCCCCAACTACCGAGATTGCAACTCATATTAGCTGTCCATATCCTCTTCACCGCTGCCATCGAGCGCTATCCTAATACTGCATCTGCGCAACCACCTCAACTTGATTCCAGAACTTACACCTCTCGAGCAGCCTCTCTTTCAGCACACTCTCCCTGGCTGAAGACCCCTCTTCTGACGGCCCCTGGCTCGATCCTCCGATGACATAAGTCCCCAGATTGCCATCGGCAAACTGAGCAGGCATCCAGCCCTGTAATGTTTCCTTTCCTTCGATGGAAGGCTTCAAGGAAGTAGCGAATGAGGACCAAGCCCCCGACACTTGATGAGCAAGAGACCGATCCACCTCAGTGATGTTCACCTTCTTCAAACGTGAGTCGGGCTTGAGATAAATGTCCAGATTATCAAACACGTATGCGATATCGCTTGAGTGTATAACACCCCAACCAAATCTTCCATCATTTTCCAGGTTGGGCGTGAAAATGGTCTGATTGAACTCGTACAAGAACACCTGATTGCCAGCAGATTGAATCCTAGACAAGCCCTGGGCAAAGTCGACCGCACTGCACGTGAAAGCAACGTCTCGCATGACTTGAGCAGCACGATAGTCCTCTACCGACAAAGAAATGGTTCCGTTGGGTCGATAGCTGGGTCGAAAGTCAGAGGCAGGGTACAGTTCCAGCACCTTGTCAACGGTAGGGGGCTCGAGAGCTGGGAGATAATGTCGCATGAACTCTTGAGCCGTAATGTTGTTGCCAGTTGCAAAAGGAACGCCATCTTGAGCCGTCCAGCCTAGAATCAGGGCGACATCTGCCATGCGTCCTTGTGCGATCAGCTGAGATGGAACATCCGGAACGAAATCGCCGTCGACAACCGGCAGCCACTCGTCTCCAAGGTTCCCATCCAGACAAACGCGGCAAGGAGGAGTTTCCTGCGCCGAGCTTACATTTCCTTCGGACCCAGCTTTCGGTGATTCCCCCTCGCAAGTATCCTGGCACGCGGTGCCATTCTGCGCATCACGCAGATCCAGGCCATAGATATTCCGAAGACAATCGATGGCTTCCTTCGAGTCATAGTCGAAACGATCGCAGCCTGTGTACGCCAGAATGGCAGCTTGAGCGTTCCTTGTATAGTTTCCCGTGGTACCAGGCTCTGGCCCTTGACTTTGACAGATGGCGGCACGAAAAGGAGCAGGCTTCGAGCCGCCGTAAGCCAGGACTTGCATTGCCACGGCGACAGCACCAGAAGACTGTCCGTGGATAGCAATCCTGTCCGGGTCGCCGCCGAAAGCAGCGACATTGTCGTGTATCCATTCAAGAGCAAGCCGCTGATCTCGCAAACCGACGTTCTCGTTACCCGTATCTTTGAGGTATTTCGATTGCGCGAAACCGAAGACTACAACATTGTCAGGAAAGGGCATGACGATCCCATTAGGCTGCCAAGTACTCACCCCCAAGGCGATAATTCATAGAGGCGTGAATGATTGGCTGGCCATTGGCGATACTGTCATTGATCAAGCCCCCAGGAAACGTAGCACTCGAGTCTTTGCCTCCTTCGACGAAGCCTCCTAGCAAAGCATGCATTAGCTCAGGAGAAGATTCATGCATATGATACGAACACACCGCCATGAATCCACACCATAACAGGCAACTTCGCCTCTGCAGTCGTGCCCTTCGGCCGCCAGATGTTCAGCTTCAAGCAGTCTGCTGATATCGTTCCGTTGAACTGTCTCTGCAAACAGGGCCGTCCAGGATCAACAGCATCGTTCACAGTATTCGACTGTGGTTGAAAGGGAATGGGAGCCTTGAAGCGATTGCTTCCACCAGTGGTTTCAGCATATCTGATGCCGAGAAAAGCTTCGAAATTATCGTAGTAGAATCCCTGGTACGACACGCCACGGCCGAAGACGTTATCGACTATGACCTGCTGTCGGATCTGTCGCGCAAAGCCACAACATGCTAGTGCAAGCTGAAACAGCAGGTTGGTAACGAACATCGCATCGACTAAGTCCGTCAAGATCGCAAATTCTCCTCGAGAGCTGCGTACGCATCAGAGTATTAATAACCAGGCACTTCCGGTTGGCCGGGAAGTAACAATGATACTCTTTCGAACCAACTGAATTGAATTGAGTCCGAGTCAGTTCATCATGACACAATGCTTGACGGTCAGGCGAGTTGATAGCAAACGCAATCCGTTCAGCGTGCTTCCAGCATTCTACCGGAGAACAAATTGTATGAATTCCATCTCCAGTGACAGCAACGCGGCCGCGCGAGAGAGCCAATTCCAACTTCAAGCTTGAAGCTTGGATACAACGCTTTGAGTGTGATAGGCTCAATGGCTTTTAACCAGGATGAGATTGAAGTATGTTTATGTTTGTGGGCAATGGTCAAGAAAGGCAATAACCGTGATCGTTGGCCTGTTCCCTGCCCGTATCGCTTCAATCGACAATGCCGGCAAGCTGTTGTACAGTCTCATAATCAGAGCCAGAGCCGGGCGTTATGGCGATTTCTCGACGCACATTGCTGTGGTCGGAATTGTGGCAGTAAACGGATCCGATTCTCCCGAAATACAGACAGGGTCTCGCACATGGCTCCAGGCTTGGTCCTGGCAAGACCACACAACCTCACGCGTTCGAGGCCGATTCGGAGTAGTACAGCAAGCGAGGTAGATCCGAAGAAGGGCTTCAAAGTCTCTCATCGTGCTCCAAAAGGCATTTATGTCAGCCGACCAACACCTTTTCCACGTTCTTCATAGCATCTTAACGAAGGAAACAAGAATAACTCACTTTCACGATCCTAGGACAGCAGTTTGGTCATCCACTCAGGCCTTCTAATGGAGGTCGGGACAATCTTGCCTAGAACGGATGGTATACTTCGAGAATCTTTCCTCAAATGGACGAAGCGCTCACGGTCGACACGCGTACTGCTTCATCCGAGGAGAAGAGGCTTTCCAATAGACTCAAGAGCACTCAATAGCCTCGATTTCGACCTTGCCATGTGGAATCACCATGCTGACAGCGGCTACTGGGCGTGGAGTAAAGTCAAGTCTAACTCTATACGAGACTTGAGATCAACTTGACGCTTCTCTGAACAACCGCTCCCGCTTCTTCCATTGTTTACCTCGAAGCCTTCGCGGCAAGACTCCTGAAGGGTGTACAGCAGCAAAATCGTTACGCACGCAGCACGCATTGCCACAAAAGCAAAGCGATGGGTTCTCGAAAATATGTAGACAAATGGGGAGGATCGTGCTCATCATCGAGACCATGCTCGAGGTTCAGGCCTTCCGTGCGTGCATGTCCCAGCGATATGGAAGCTCCAGGAATTCATTGGTATCCGGTTCCAACCCAAGCTTTGTTACTTAAGGCCTCGTTCGACCGACGGACGAATGCTGCTGATACGGAGAGTAAGATTCAGCTGCGAGTCTTGCATCTGGACCTTGCTGCTTCCATTGGGGTCTGCACTTTTGGTTGACCCCAGCGAGAACGAGTCTGGACGCGATATCTGCGACTTGACAGTTAGAGCAACTGACTGCCGACATATACCAACAGCTTGAGCATCACCCTACTTGACGTACTGTGAATACCACAAAGCAGTCCACACTATCTCTTTCAACCGTGAGAGACATTGTTCCAAGCAAGAAAGAGATATGTTCTTCACCACAGACGACCAGGAGCACCTCAATTCTCAGGCCGATTGATCCAAAGGAATCTCCGAACGAGGGGAGTTATGCGCATGGCCAATGTTGCCGTTGGCCACGTTCCATAAAAGTTCTGATGGAAGTGCACTGGGTAGTATTACAGTAAGCAAGTGCAAGCGTCGGAGCTTGGAAGAATTGCTTCTCAATTCTTTCACATTATCTCCCGACCACCAAGCCGAACAGTTTTCCAGCTTAAGCAACTCCTCCGACTGTAGGTGGCTGTGCGTTGCTTCCAGCTGCAGTACCTCCTGCTGCGCTGCCTCCTGCTCCTGCTCCAGTTCCTGCCCCAGTGCCAGTTCCAGTTCCTGCTCCAGTTCCTGCTCCAGTTCCTGCTCCAGCTGCACTGCCTCCTGCAGCACCCGAAGACGCGCTAGACAGCTGCGCGCAAGTTGCCTGGAGCTCCAAGACATCTACGCGAACGACATATCAGCACACGAAAAGCCGTAAGCATAGCAAGCAATAAAGATTAGAACTCACCACCACCATCCTTGCTCGTCGACACACACTGCGCACAAGTCGCCAACAGAGTAGGATCAATGTTTGTGCAAGCGCACTGCAAGAAGCTTTGGTCTTCGAAAACATTGCCACCTACGACACCCAATAATCATCATCAGCATTCTGCGCCATCTATGTCATAAAATCCGACAAATAAGGTGTGAGGGGAATTCGACGCACCAAGCGAAGGACACTGAGCAGCAAGTCCAACAACCTGCACACAAGAAGGATCTACTTGGCAAGCAGCTGGGAGATCATCTTCGTTGATCTGGGAAGACTGAGCGGAAACGGCGACAGCGCTGGCAAAGGCAGCGAAAGCGGCGGTTGTGAAACGCATCTTGATGAATGGATGATATGTAGTGGTAGGACTTGTTGTTGGAAAGATTGTTGTCGTTCAGGAATGAGTGATTGATGGTGCCTGGCAAGAAAGAATTAGCACCCTCACGACTCTCTTATATCTTCATCGGTACATTCATCCTACCAAGATCCGCAACTCACTCTCATCTCCATCTTTCTCCCTATTCCAACACCAATCCCCAAGATCTCACCTATAGTCCCACTGTCTCACCACCCCATCCCTCTACGCCAAGGATTGATCATACCCGATTCAGTAATTCTAATTCTCCTAGTCCTCTTACATCCCCAGTTCCGCTGACATCCACCCATCACTATCCCCGCAAAGTCGGACGCCGAAAGCTCGGAGTAGAACATACACAAGCCACTAGAAGATAAAATAGGCAACGAGGCTCAGCATTGGCATTCGTCAGAGCACCACAAGTAAGCAAAGGCAAAACCTCGTCAGTAATGATCGTAATTTCAGATCGCTGTCTGAACGCAAACAGCATATACAAATCAACGGACGAAGAGAAAGCGGTTGATCCGATCCTTTCTTGATCGTACGAATCGTCGATATTCTTGTGAGGCGCAGCAGCGAACTCGATCCCTAATTGAGGGCGATCTGCTGTAGTCGCAGTGAAGGTAAATTCTCCGAACTAAGACTTGTCACTTTCCAAACAATTTCGGAACTTACCTCGCATATTCGCGACCATGCTCGATCCTGCTAATGACTTGAGCACTCGTCTGTCGAAATTTGGGTATCTTCACTACAGTATCTCGTAAGAACTATCTCATCCTCCTCTTCTGCTCGTGTCCCACACTCGGCATCTCCAGTCTACGCAAGGTGCTTGTCCGTCTTGCGCGGACCATCGCCGACACTGGTCAAAATGACACGCGAGATGCCACTGTTCAGCTTCTCTGCCGCGACTTCCGCGCCCTCCGGAAGCGGTGTTGCCTTGATCTTCTGCCCTCTTGCACCTTCCCAGCCAGTCTTGTCTCCAACAATGCTCTTGAAAGTACCCGCGACGATGTCCTCGTGCTCGGCGAGGTAGTACACGACAGCATTCGGGCCTGCATCAAAGGTGTATGCACAGTATTGCTTCTCCTCTGGGTGGCTGGCATTGATGTACTCGCACATGCGCACAGCAGCTCGGCTCGTATCGTTCATGTAGAAGATCGGTGGATCGGTATCCAGGCAGGTGGCATGGAAGTTGTTGGAGTCCTTGGTGGTGAGCTTTGCGAAGCTCTCAAAGTCTCTGTTGTGGATGGCCTTCTCCATGGCCTTCATCCTCTTTGGCACGACTTCGTCTGCGCGGTGCTGGAAGAGGGCAGAGCTGGCAACTGTCTGCTGCATGCCGGCAGTGGAGCTGACGTCCTTCTTCTCAGCAGAGGCTACGAGGATGAGTGCTCGCATGTCGGGCCAGTGAGAGGCCGAGGCGACTTCATATGCCACACTGTCACTTCCATCTGGCTGCTCCCCTTTCTGCCATGCCACGTATCCGCCCATGAGACTGCGGCATGCTGAGCCAGAGCCCTGTCGTGCAATGCGCGAGAGATCGGTAGGCGACGTTGGCAGCTCGTACAGGTTCGCGATGGCACGCACCAGAGCAGCAAAGCCAGCGGCAGAGGAAGCAAGACCGGCAGCGGTGGGGAAGTTGTTCTCGCTGACGATCTTGAGCTTCAACTCCGACAGCTTGGGCAGCGATGAATCGGCATCTTCCAGCTCTTTTCGCAGTGACCGCAGCTCACGCAGACATGCCTGCGTACGAGCTCCCGAGATGTCCTGCGGAGCGTTGTTCAGCGTCAGGGAGTCGTCGGTGAGGGCGGCACTGCACCCGGCGGTGGTGTGCGTGCGCAGGTCGTCTTGGGACAGCGTGACGGAGATGGAGCCGTTGGTGGGCAAGTTGAGCTGTATCTGTCAGACTTTCTCCCACTCATCAGTCTCTCGTCCCGAGTCATGGCCGTACTTTGGTATCTCGCTTCCCCCAGTATCTTGAAGCACCGTCAGTTTCACGCCGTCCGCTACTATTGTTCGCTGTCCTACTTGATAATGGCAATGTTGACCGGCGCAAAGGTCGAGGCTCGGTATACTTCGTCGTTTGCTGCCATTCTGTCGTTCGTGAGCAGCTTCTATCTATCGAGTAGCAGAGGAGCAAAATGAGGGGGGAATATGCGTGGGAAAATGGCACGAGAACAACGTGCATCAAAGCTCTGACGCAAGGTGCAGAGCCGCATCTGCACCTTTGAGCTCGTGCATGACGCCAATCGGCATTATTCTTTATGCATCTGCATAAATCTATCTCGTCACTCTATTCTCTCTCACTTTCATCTTTTCTATCCTCGCCATCACCATGCGCTCCGCCGGCGACGACCCCGACGCCAAATGCCCCGTCGACCATCGGACACGTGAAGCTTGGCTCCAGGCTGCGAAAGCCAAGAAAGAGCAGCCTCAGTCCTCTCCTTCAGCAGTACAGCCATCTTCCATCCCATCTCCGCCTCCCGCACGCTTCTCTCTTGATACCTTATCATGGAACACTATTTCCGATAAACCTGTGCCAAAAGCTCCTATCCTCCGATCTCTGTCCACCGATCGCGAAATCTCCTCCATTCCGCGTGCGATCAACGATACCTCCAAACTCAACTCCGCCGAGAAAGCCGCTCTTCCTACGAACTCCGAAGTCGAAACAGGCCATGACACCTCCTCCGGAAACTGGATCTACCCCTCGCAATCCCAATTCTTCGAAGCCATGAAACGCAAAGGCCACGAAGCCAACCCAGCCGACATGTCAAGCATCGTGCCCATCCACAATGCAGTGAACGAACGCGCCTGGACACAAATTCAAGAATGGGAAAAGGGTTGGGGGTCAGAGAGATGCGGTGGACCTAAGCTAGTCTCATTCGCAGGAGATAGTAAGAAATTAACGCCGAAGGCTTACTGGAATATGTATATCATGGGATATGCTCAGCCATTTGATCGTCACGATTGGGTCGTCGATAGGTGTGGGAAGAAGGTGGATTATGTTATCGATTTCTACAAGGGCAAAGACACGGGCATGCCGTTGAGCTTTTTCCTGGATGTGAGGCCTAAGATCAACAGCTGGGAGGGCGTCAAGATGCGCGTTGCGAGGACCTTTGGACTGGCTTGAGCGATTACCGATTTCAGAGCAGAGAAACACCACTACCTATCGTGTGATTATGGAACCAGATGGCACTTCCGGAGGTTACCTCGGGTAACTTTTGAGTCTACTGACTTGCCTAACCCTCCTGAAAGCAGGGCCTAGGTCTTCATGAACCCCAGAGGGGCCATATTGCGCCTGATCAGCTGGAAAGTGCTCTCTCAAGTGCGACTGTCTCGCGGCGACGGGATCACTTGTTCGCAACAACACTTTGAAGTGGCTGCCTGCAAGTATCGAGGTGTGCTTACTGCAATGGCCCACTGCGTGACCGGCAGGAGCTTCAGGAATCCTCTGTGGCAATGGACCAATTTTGCGAAGCCCGCAAGGCCCTTCAACCGGTCAGTTGCGATTGGGGCAGCCGGGAGAATAGCATCCACTACTGGTTCCACACGCGAGACGGCATTGGTCTAAGGTACAAGCATCGCGACGTCAGCTTGCTTGCTAGCAAGCGCTGTTGTGACGCAACCAGCCAGTAGTGGAAATGGTCCGCAAATCTGAGCATCCTGTGCAGTCAGTGCCAGGCGATGGTGGCTGGCCTCCCACTAGCCATTTGTGGTGGCCGCCAGTCAAAGCCGCTCGTGCTTGACCGCTCATGTGAGTGCTCAGCTCGAAGTACACGCGTCGAAGCAATATGGATGTGCAATTTCGGAAACTAGCAAGTTCGAGGGGGCTGGTGGAGCACCGCCATGATTTGTATCATGTATGTACTTGTATGTTAAAAGTCTCAACTCTGCCGTGATCAGGAAGTCGCGTTGTGCGACTGAACACAGGCTACCCGCACTTCGCTCTTGACATAGCGATTCACGTAAATACATGTCTAATACTCTCATGTTGCCCTTGCATCGACGAGTGAACATCATCCTGCGCAGCCAGGCAGCGGACCCTCCCGATCCTGCGCAACGCACTCATGAGTCAAATGCTCGCACGCTTTGTGGCCATATTGGACCTCTGATCACATTGGCCATCAGACAGATACCAGCCTAGTCAAACACCCCAACGCCATCGCTGAAAACCCCAACACTTGTCACTTTGCTCAGCCTCCCATCAAGATGCTGACCTGTTCCGAGACGTCAGCTTCGTCTGCCCAATATGTGCAGCATTTGAAGATAACTCACCGCCATAGCAGCACAACATAAGCTGACGTATGGACTCAATCGCTCGCCTATCCGTGCCGCGCGCCAGAATGTGCCAAGAGGACTTGCAAGATGTCAGCTTTAGCATTCGAACCCACAGCTGCGGATGCCCAGAACTCCAGTCTAGTGCTGCAATATGGCACTCACCCAGTCTTGTTGCGATCAAGCCATGCCGGGAAAACGCCGTGGATATATGTGCAGGTGCAGATGAACAGCAGGACGACGAGGAGGAAAGTCTGGAATTTCAAGATTCCGAGCATCGTGGCAACTGAGTCGTATGTTCTTGTGCAGTTTGTCTTGTCTCCAGTCTGGTTCGTATGTCAGTTAAACGCTGTGTGCTGTCTCCAAAAGAAATTGATTCTGCGGATGCTGTTTCCAGCTCACAAGTGAAGTCGAAATGTCAACCGCAAAACCACTGGGACGGCGCTTCGGCAAATCACATGCTGGCGCCTTCCAGCTCGCGCGCTCGTCCTTCTTCACGTCATGTCACTTCACGACACTTCCTCGCAACCCTCATCCCACACCCGCAACAACCAAAAGCGAAGGAGAACAGCAGAGGCACAAGAACCATGACCGAACCCCGCCAACGCCCCCGCGCAAAAGGCGCCCCAATCTTCAACCAAAACGACCTCAGCGAACTCCTCTACGCCTTCGGGGACACCCCCAACCCCCTCCCTGGCACAATCTCCATCCTCGACGAAATCCTCTCGGACTTCATAATCGAAACCTGCCACAGCGCCGCCTTATGCGCCAGCTACTCCCGCCGACAAAAAATAAAAGTCGACGATTTCCGCTGGGTGTTGCGCAAAAATCCCGCATTACTAGGACGCGTGAATGAGCAGTTGTTCAGGGAGAAGTATATTAAGACGCAGAGACGACTTGTGGATTTTGATGCGTATGGGAAGGAAGGGGCGGCGGAGTTGGCGGATTTGGCGGAGGTTGGTGGAGCTGGAGAGGAGGATCTGAAGGGCGGGAAGGGTGCCGGAGGGAAGGGAAAGGGAAGAAAGAAGAAGAGGAAGGCGGATGATGAGGGAGAGGGTGGCGGGAAGAAGTTGAAGGAGTAGGTGGTTTGCGACAAAACATTCTGGTTCGATGATTCGTGGGTGAGAGCAGACTGGGCATGATTTTAGCGATGGCGTTGGCGTGGACGGGAAGGCATCACGATACCCAAATTGGCATTTTGGCATGGAGTTCATGGCGATGTACACATGGGCGACACGGACACCTATCACTGTGGATCGCCTACACAGCGAACAAGAAGATATCGATATTGCATAGATATTGCATACTCAGAAGCAGCAGCGCTGTGATACTTTTCACTCGAAGCACCGTGGCATCAAATAAGCGAATCCTTTTGGCTGCATCAGCTACATCTACGCTAAAAGTAGCGCATTGAAGACACCAGAGTACATTCATCCAGACACGCGGTGCTCGTGGCCATATCCAGACGCATTCGCCTCTCCTTGAATCTCTCGACTTCTCTTCTGACCGAGCTATGGAGGGCTACTATGGCCGCTGTTTTTCCTGAACCACGAAGGATACTTGTCCAGTTTTGTTTTCGGAGGCACAAACCCCCAATGCTGTTTGTAAGCAGGACAACAGGGCGTAGCATCACTGGAAGTGCCTCGAGTCAACAATTTATCGCTTCAGGATACGATGGAAACCTCACTCACCCATTATCGTAGGCTAAACAGCAACTATCAAGAATTTGTTAGCGGAATGCTTGGACGACAGCCGTACACTAGCCAAACACTTACTTCTCTCCATTAGTGTTTCCTGGAGCCCACGCTCTATCCATCACCAATCATCTTAGCTCTCTCGCCAATCCAAAGCCTCGTCTGGAAACTTACGATCCAGGTACGTCCGTGTCTCCACACCACTCCCACCCGTGAGCGCAAGCTGCCTTTGCTGAGCCGTCGCCAGGACATTTAGGCCAATTCCCAGATTCTACGAATTTTTGACAGTCGCTTGTCCTGGTTGGGGTTCCTCCATCGCAGCGGAATGCGTGGACGCCGGAAACTGAGACCGACAGCAAGAGGCTTAGGGACAAGGACCAAGAGCAGTGCATATTTGAGGCAGGTTGCGGGCTGGACCAGATAGAATGCTCCCGATCCCAGATGTAGTCCGTCGCAGGTCGACTGGTTGAAGTGATGCCGCCGGCGTGTGAGGGCAGATCATGAAATTGCGAAGATGCGTTCCACTTCTTCTTATATGTCCCTTTCCCATCACAGACGCACAGATCACCCAGGTTCGCGAAATACGAAGGAGAAGCGGTGCACAGAGGGCATTAGCCTGCTTCGCCTCATGCATGGAAGACCAACACACAATGCGTTCGACGCAAACAAGAGACAATGTGCCGACGTTAATCGAAGGAAAGACATTGGACAAGCATTCGACCAAAGGCAAAGCCCTATTCGCAGAATCCCAAATCTTCGATTTAAACTTCGAATTCCTGATCGCATGCAACAAAAAGTGTCGCAGCCTAGCCCGTTCAAGGTTTCCTTTGTGCCTCTCCTTCAGTTTATGTAAGTTCTCTGTCGCAATGGAAGCACGCACTTGGCTATGAGTCGCCTGGTCCTTATCAACCGTGCTCGATGTAGTAGTCAAGTCAACAAGTCGCCTGCGAGGGGCGGCAGATATATGCCGCTCACGCCCGGAGCTATTGAGGCATTTTGAAGCCTTGATCCGCTCTGCCTCCTTCCTAGCACGCTCCTCCATTCCCGCGGCGTGGCATTTGACGTGGCTTTAGACGGCTTTTGATCGGAATTCGAATGGACGGAATAGACAGCACGGGTTGCCCAACGTGCACCACACCTTCCACGTACCAACTAGCAACCAGCACTCACCAGCAATAACCAGCAACGACCAGCAACAACCAGCAGCAGCGACAGGGTCTGGACATTTGAATTGAGCCGCAGACAGGACTTGCTCCGGAAAGTCGATACGCGGTAAACGACTGTGCTGAGCGCGATCCACTCTGCTTCCTTCATCGTGCCGCCTGGGAAGAATTTCGCAAGAACACAACCGCTTCTGACGAGGCAATGGCCTGCTAGTAGTTATGTCTTTCCAGGCACTTGCGAGTGTCGGAATCAGCCTACAGTTTCGCCCTTCTCCTCTCTTTTGTCTGTTCGCACTTGCTAGTAGCGCAGCCTCTCTTCCCCTACAGCCGGTGACTAGCTGTTATATTTTTCCAGAATCCAGGTCCTTTAACGATCACCTCACACCTCCTTAGCTCAACCAATAAGTCGTCAACTACAATCAGACGCTTGGTTTGCACGGTCGCCCGTTTGACATTCCGACAACAGTCCAAAGCTGTCGAGAATACCGACCGGAATGCCTAGCTATGGAGTGGGAGGTGATTGTTTTGTTTTGCTCCGAGCGAAGCATCTTCTTTTGCTTCTTTGGCCAAACTTTTGCTCCTCGTATGCACAATCCGGTGTAATGGCATTCATATGCATTTCAACATTGGCCTGTGTTAGCGAGTGCCTCCCGCTTCCTTGGCCTAACTAGTAAGTCGTCAACTACTTTGGTACGCCTGTAAGATAAGGTCAATCCCGCAACACCTCTCGACAAGAGTTCAGTGTCTTCTGGTGGCGTGGCGAGCCTCCTTAGCCATAGAGCAGAAGGTGATTGTTTCGTTTTGTTTTGCTTCTTGGCTGCCGGTTGCTTCTACTATGAGCACAAGTTTTGGCGGACGCGAACTTTTTCGAGAAGGCATTCACGCGCGAAGATGTACCCACGTGCATTCCTTGTTCGCATTCAGCCTGCTCAACAAAATCGCCTTCTCTGGGCGGTGTCTGCCAGCATTTGTATTCCAGTTAGACCTTTTGCGCATCAATGATCGCCTCTCGGTGTGATAGCCAAGTCAGTAAGTCGTTTCCAAGTTGGGCGCTTGACGATCGTTCCTAATGGAGACTATGTTGTCCTTGTCCCAGCCCATATCGAATGGAAGGTTCGCGTGCGAGGCGGTTGTTTTGCTTTTTGGACGCAACCTTTGCATTAGGAAGCTGTTGATGCTGGACAAATTTTTGTGTACCATGTGCCCTGTCTCATACCTTTCTTGCCCGATCCTACTTGATCTCGCATCGCAGACACTGCGAGTCCCTGGGTCAGTGTAGGCTTTCGTTAGTGAGAAGGAGTACGATTTAGTCGAGGGGCTGGTACTCTCGTTGTTTGTTTTGGCCCCGTGTACGCAGGAGCTCAAGATATCCTTCGGCCGCGTGGCTGGCACATACAATGGTACTCATACACCATGGTCTCGCCTATCTTTTGCGATTTCCATTGCCCAAACGCCACGCTCATGCATAAAACACAGCTGTACAAAGCTTTTCCCAACCTCAAGCCACCATGCCCAAAGCAAGGCTCTACCGACTCCTTTCCAAATCAGGGTATACTCTCTTCTTCTTCACCACCTCAACACCTTCATCACCCTCCTCAAATAGCTTCTCAAACTTCTCAACCATCTGTTCCAGGTCCTTCTCTCCCTCTTTCCGGAACCTCGTGACCTTTCTTACATTCCACGCCGTCATGTCTCCCAGCTTGAACTCTTTTCCTTCTTCCTCCGCCTGTTGCCGTGCATGCGCGATACTCTTCGCCGTCATCGCAAGGCGCATATCCTTGGGTCCATCGACAAGTTCGAGGATCGCAGAAGCGGCCTGGTCCTCTTTCACGGGCTCGATTCGGAGGACACGTGTGTATCCACCAGGTCGGGAAGCGTATCGTTCTCGGAGTTCGTTGAAGAGTTTAGGGAGGTGTCGGTGGGGTTCCTGTGAGGACAAGGACAAATGTTAGTTTCAGGACATGGTCTTTGTGGGTGAAAGTGAATTCCGTACAAATAGTATTGCTTGCGCGCCTTGTTTACTCGCAATAGTGTTCCTCTTGCTCAATGTGATCAATTTCTCCGCTAAACGCTGCGCTTCTTTTGCTTTGTGCCATGTCGTCGTGATGGATTCGTGCTCGATGAGGGATGTGACCAGATTTCGGAGAAGTGCTTTGCGATGCGCTGAGTTTCGCGACAAGTGGCGGTACTTGACAAGTCCTCCGGCCATTGTGAAGACTGTTCGCGGCTGGAGAGAAGATCGGGGGCAGGTTCGATGGGGTGGTGTTGGTCGCGACAGCGGAGGAGAGCGGAGGTGTCTTCATTAGGGTTAGGGTTCAACACGCTGGTGGAGCATTGGCTTCAGACGTCACGGATTCCCAACCAGCGCTTCCCTTCGCTCTTCACTTCGCTCTTCCCAGACACAATCACAATGGGCTTCACAACAGGGCTGGTATGTTCAGTATCTATGGATCTTGCGCTATTCAGCCGCTAATCAAAGACCAGCTCGGCGGCTTTACACTCACAGCCTCAATCCTCTACCTCTCCACCGAACTCCATGCTCGCAATCGAGCTCACCAGTCCGCTCTCCTACGACAACAAGCCTACCTCGTCTCCAACATATACGCGCCCGAACCAGCTCTCCCACCTCAAACAGATCGGAGAATACAAGCAGGACTTTGGGAAACTGCGAAAGACAAATGGAATGCTACACTTGAGCGCGAAGTACGAACGGTGTCGAATGTTGACTGGCAAAGCGTGACAGAGCGCGTGGGAGACAGTGTGAGCAACTTGGTGTCGCGGGCGTTCAACCAAGGGAAGGAGGCTGCGAAGGAGGTTGGAAAGTGAAGAGAACGAGGACTGAAGGAGATAGTTTCCAGGATGGCTGGTCCTGAAGCGGCCTCACGAAGGATTTCCGTGGAGAAGAGAGGAGCATTTACCGTGCCGCGCCGAAGTGCACTGTCTCATAAATTACGGTAGGAGAGCGAAGAGATACCCTTTGTACAATGCATGCACATTACGTTCGCGAGGCAGCCTTCATGGCGCGGATCAGGTCACGGCAAAGTCATATGCTGCACAATTCAGCAAAAACGCTGTGGCCGATGTGCTGCACGATTCAGCAAAAACGGTTTGGCCTCAGAACTGTATGCTTCGCAAGAGGCAGCAGTGATGTGCCGAGCTAGCCTTTATTCACTCTCGATGGCTGTTCACTTTTGACGCATAACCGCGACAACTCCTTCCAGTTTACAACAGCGATAACTTCTCCCGACCCTCGACATGCAACTTCGCAATTCTCGTGCAGCACCACACTTACCTCTCGACCGACCGACACTGCTCACCATATCGCGATCAACCAAGCATGGTCGACCCCAGGCACGGCTTTACCGTCCACACCTTCTCCCACCGAACGGGACTAGAATCCACCTTTGCTGAACAGTACCTGCGCGAGCATGACTGGGACTTCGACGCGGCGATCGTGGCGCTCGAAACCGAGAAGGAACACAAATCGTCAACGCATACATACTCGAGCCACGCGGCACACCATATCGCAACCGCCAGCGGCGATCTCAAGCTGCCGAAAAGCGTCAACGTCCGTGATGCTGAGATCTCTGTGGAGCGCCTCATGAAGCGCACTGGCTTGACACTCGAGTATGCCCATATGGCACTCTCCGCAAGAGAATGGAATTTATGGAAAGCAGAGGCGGCGTTCAAAAGCGTGCAGGGGGCACTACCAGCAGAGGCTTTCCAAGTCACTCACACCCTATCGAGTCGGACTGGAATGACGCTGGCCGCCTGTACTGATTGCCTGATCTCCACGCAAGGCAACTACAGCGAAGCTCTCGTTGCTTTCGAGCGCCTTCGCCCGCGTCTCCCGCCCGAAGCCTTCATCACGCGACCGACCAAGACCACCTTCTTCTCTCTCCCGCCAGAGATTCGCAACGAAATCTACAGCCTTGTCGTTCAGGGCGAAGCAGCGGCTCACACCGATTACGATGGCCTGGTTCCAATTGTCTGTTCACCATTCCCTGGCCTCCTTCGCGTCAACTCTCAGATCCGAAGCGAATCTGTGGGCTTGTACCTCTGCTCCACTCCTTTCTGCGATTACTTCCACTTCGAAGACTACGGTCCAGACGAAAAGACTCGCGCAGCCCGAGCCCTGTTCCAATGGCTTGACATAGTCGGTAACAAGAACGTCCGCGATCACTTGGGCTCTGTGACCATCATTTCCAACATGGTATTTGATTGCGTTCATGGTTGCTCTGCAAACAGATACGGCCGTAGCGAGAGCATATTCAACACGTGGAAGTATATTGGTGCCTCACTCAAGATTCGAGGGGTGCAAGGACATCAGATTCGCTTTCCTGGGATGCTCCACTCTGACATGACTCTTTGTTCCGTGGAATACGACAACCGCCTCATGACTAGGATTCTCTTGAACGCGGTCATCGCGGTCGAGATATTGGAGAAAGTAGTCAAACTGGTAGACGAGAAGTTTCGGCCGCCGCAAGTGGACGCATTGGTTGAGGCGGGTTGGGAGAGCGAAGAAGGATTGAGCCGATCGGATTGGCAGCGTCGTCACCCAGGAACGGGCCTAGCAGACGCGAAGAAGGTGGTCGAACAGTGGAGAGAACAGGTCGAGAAGTGGTTGCGCCTAGAGAAGGACAGGGTAGAGAAGGAGAAGGCGGAGAAATCGAGCAAGAGATACTCGTGACGGCCAGCGATTTGCAACCGGCTACCGAGTGCACGAACCTCACTTGATTCGTGAGCGTCTTGTTTGAAGTTCCAGCATCACACTCGTCGATCTGGTAATAACAGAAAGGAGGACGTCAGAGTTTCCAGCAGTGAGGTTCTACGTACCTACCAACAATGCCGACCAGGACTGGCACAGATGAGTGCTAAACTTTCGAGAGCTTCCCCAACGGTCTTGTGCGACAGCCCAACTCATCGCTGAAACAGTCAGCACACCAGACAGAGGGACCGTAGGACTACTGAGCTCAAATACTCCAAAATTCGATTGAGTACCCGGCTTCCGGGATGATGGACAAGGAGTCGACACGAGGAATGGGCTCTGCCAGCTGCCGTCGGGTCATGGCGGCATCTTGAAGCTTGCATTGGGGCAGCACGCTGTCTGAAGCTCTTCGAGTTCTGGAAGGAACAAGGTACGAGAGGTAGCCGCTGAGTTTGATGTTTGTTTAGCGAGACTGTTGTATGCAGAGGTTACTGATGCTGTCACAAACGCAGCCACCTTTCGTCCCCGATCTGTCGATCCTTACAATCTTGCACTTTCCCGACCACTGCTTTCTTCGAAACTCAGCTCAATCTCTTCTCCGCCCTCTGTCGGTCTTCCAATCACAACTTTTGCCTTCTTCTCCCTCAACTCCATCACAATGTTAAACAAAGTCTGACTCGTACTCTTCCCCTTGGCACTCCTACAAATCGCTCCCGGCCAGTTCTCCTCATCGCGAAAAATGTCTCTCACGTCCTCCCATCCAACCTCCTTCCCTGCAGTCTTCTCCTCAACCCGCTTCACCAACTCCTCAATCCTCCTCACCCGAAACCGACTATCCACCAACCAATCCGTATCCTCCACCCCATCCGGATGCTTCTCCAAAAAATGATTACTATGAAACACCTGTCCCCTCCCATTCATTTCCACCTTCTTCACCCCCTTCGCAGACCACTCCAAACCCACACTTCCACCAGCATCAGAAATCAACATATGACAAGCCGATGCAATCCCCACCCTCTCCAACTCCCTCACAGCTTCCTCCCTCGACTTACTCTCCAGCACCTTCCTCAACCCCAAATGAACAGGAAGCCTCCCCTTATCCATCCCTCTCGCCTTAATAGCATTCAAACAAACCCCCACCCCATGAGAATTCAATCCAATCTTCCCAATGATCCCCGCTTCAGTAACCATTTTAATCCTCGTCTGTCTACCCGGTACATCAATACTCACCAAAATCAAATTCTCCCCCTGTCTCGGATCCCAATCCCAATTTTGCGCCAACCAACTCTCCCCAGCTCCTCCATCTCTGTCGACTTTCCACCCCAAAGCCGTACACCCATCACTCCACAAGCCAAACGTAATTTCCGTCCTAACATTACAAGCCACAATATCCTCCACTTCTACTCCCGCGCCCTCTGCAATACCTTCAAGTTCCTCCAAATAAGCTGGCCATTGAGTTTTGATGTTCGGAATAAATTCTTTCGCGAGGACACGGACTTCTGGCCAAGATAGTTTCGATGAAGCTTGGAATTGGGAGCTATAGAATGCGATTGTTCGGTGGATGAGAGGTTTGGCGAGGGTGCCGTGGGTTAGACCGATCTACACATTTCCATCTTGTCAGTAGTATTCATATCATCATAGCGAATATCATTGGAGGAAAGAAAAGAGTAAAGTATGTATGCACACCTCTCTCGGCGAGCCAGTACAATGAATCTGAAGCATCGTTTCTCGTTCGACGCTTCTTGGCTTGTACGGGATGCTCTCTTTATCAAATTGAGGCTTCAGTATCGACTGCAATGTACTTCTTTGGAAAATCTTTCAAGCTATCGTGAAACCGAGAAGATGCAATCAGCAGTGGTTGTGGCGACAGCTGAGGTCGGTCGGCCAACACTTTCGGCCAACAAGTCGGCCGAGGAGGACGAAAGTGGGGCAAGAAAGCACGCCAATGCCGAAACGCGTGCCTATGCATGTGGCTGCCATGTGGTGTTCCTGTTATTCGTATCGTATGCTGCACGGGAGAAGTAGTCAGAGTGGCCTCACTGCGAACGACATAAGGAATGAACAAAATACGGGACTCCAAGAATGCTTTTGTAGACTATCAGTCCAATGCAAACGATTCATACTTTTCTACGACTCAGTGACAAAACCGCCACCACCACCACTGCCTCCATGAACGATAAGAAGACTGTTGCAATCTCTGTCCATCTCTCTGGCATTGCCGAAGCAACACATTTCATTTTCTCTCCCCAGCTTATCTCTCTAGCTTAGAAGTTGCGGATCAAGTACTTCGCCAAAGCCTCCATCTCCGCGGCCATCTGAAGTGGGTCGTACTCGCCCTTCGCCCGAACGTCGACGTTAACTCTCAGCGGAGCAGCGACCTCTATGCGGCGGTACCCGCGATGAGTACCCTCGCCGTCGTAGTAGTTCACATCGAGGATCCCGTTAAATACAGCCTTCACAGCCGTCCCAACCGTCTGAAGAGCATCGAGGGCAGTCTCGGTGAAGGATTTGCGACGTGGACGCTCGGCGGAGTCGGGTGGACTCGGAAGCGATTCACTCTTCTTGATATCCCCGTTCGTGGTGACTGATTCTCTCACTTTCGGGGTGTTGGAGGACAAGCTGGAAACGCTCTCGATGTTGAGCGAAGCTTCCGTGAAAGCCGGCTCTCTGGCCTTCTGTGTCTGCAGAGGCTTGTTGGCGACCACAGGAGAGAACCCGGCAGAGCGTGCCACTGGGCGTGGTGCAGCGAGTGGCGAGGCTGCCTCCGGGCTGAGCGGTGCGCGCACCGCAGGCTGAGGTGCAGGTGGCGCGACTGATGGAGCTCTCGAGATCGGAGGAGTGCTTGAGGCTGATGTAGTGCTGACGAGCGAGCGCGTAGCGGGCTTCGGTGCTGGAGATGGCGGTGGGATCGGGGAGGCACGCGAGATCGCGCGAGCCAGCGGCCTGTGTACTGGAGATGGCGCGAATGAAGGGGCGCTCGAGATTGGAGGTGCCATAGGCTTCTGAGCAGCACGCGATGGTGCGACAGGAGTGGTGCTCTTGACAGCAACGCCATTGACCCAGCGAGTCACGCCTCCGCTGCGCGGCGAAGGAGCGCGCTGACGATTCGGATCACGAACAGGGCGCGGCAGCTCTACCTGTTGGATGCGAGGACGACGTTCGTGCTGGTATGAGCCCATATGCGCCCCGTGCCCGTTATCACCCATCTTTTGCGCGAGCATAAGGCGATGGCCTTGCCCATCGGCCCAATTCGTGGTCAGCTCGGCAGTCTCGTCTTTGCCAAAGCTCGACGCATTGTTCCAGGCTTGAAGGTGGGCATGAATGGCGTTGGTGGGAGAGCCGGCAAGTCTCGCTTGACGGCTTGCGTTCTCTTGCTCGACGTACTGCGCCTTCTCGAAGTCGCGGTTGTAGGAGCCTCCGCGGCGCGCCTGGGCCTCGTCTGGGGCGGACAGGCCGTCTCGGCGCGAGTTGTCGAGATCAGCGAGCATCAGCGCCAGCTCGTTGGCGTCCATCTTGACGGAAGACGCAGCGTCGCAAAGAAGAATATCCCAGAAGGTGGATGAAGTTGTTGTGGGAAGAAAGTCGAAAGCTTTGTGGGCGGGCTGCGAGCTAGCGCGACCGTTGATGACGGCACAAGCTCTTTGGCAGGCAAGGGCAAACGGCGCATGCTGCCGACGAGGCAAATCACTTGCAACGTGATAAGTCTTGCAACAATCCACTTCGACTCACTTCAACGGTCGTGTGCCATTGGTGTGAAGACTCCACATCGGGGAAGACTGGCTCGCACAAGCAGCATCATGTACCACCCAGTTCACTTCCCGCAACGGCCACCTCCATCAAGGGCCAACGCCGAACCGGCCATCAGACAGAGGCCGCCCAGCAGATGTCCAAACGAACAGACTCAGCCGACGGAGAATATAACTTCAGCCCTACGGCATGAGCGTGCCTAGATTTGGCTCCTGCAGGATCAAACGAATCGCAGAGGGCATCTAGTCGCTGCTGCCTCCAGACCCGCACACGGTGATCTCATCAGTGGCCTCTATAGCGACCTGCGCCGGTGTTGGATTCAACTACACTGCACATGCGAGTAGTGCTTGTGTTCTTGTTGTTCCTGCATCCTTCTGCTATTTTGGGACGGGTCTAACCGCTTTTGGATATGCAACTGGGCGAAGCCTACGCCCCAGACACCAAACTGATGATGCGGAGTTTTGAAAGTCCCAAAATTGGTGTCTGAGCAATCTGCAGCATTGTGCTAGTTCGTATCGGTTTTCGCGTCCGCAAGTTCTGAAGCATGTTGGTTCTTGTTGGTAGGCACTGCTTTGTAGGCGAAGCTTGGAACGGCACCACCATTCGGACGTGACAGTCAGCCGATGATGTCGGTCCAGAAGAAAGAGGATCCAGTATATGAAGCAGAAGGTTCGCCATGCTGGTCGTGCCGTACCTGTGCATCAAGCAAGTAATCCAGCTCCAGATCCGAGGCCAGCAAGAACGTTTCCGCAATCATGTCTTTCATCAACTCCAGTCGTGCTCCCCAGCCGAGAGATCCTCCAAACAGCTATACAGGAGCCGACTGAATGCTGTTGGAGTAGAATCCTCCAAAGTACTCCTCAAGGAAGCCTTGGTCGCCTGATGCAGGGTATGTTGTTGCTGTCACTGCAAAGACGATATGCCTGGGCTGATCATTTCAGCAGCTCGTCTCTCCATATACTGGGCAGAACAAGGTCAAAGAACACCAAGAACAGCGACACCAAGTCCAGCAACTCCACTCAAGCCCAAGGCGGCCATTCCGGTCATGGCAGGCGCTCCGGCAGAGCTCGTCTCGCTCTCATACACAGCCGTCGCGGCGTATTCCGAAGCAGCGGCAATCTTCTCCATACCGGCGGTGATGGTCACAGGCATATAGCTGATCTCGGTACTAGCGAGCACAGTTGTGCTGGCGACCACGCCGAGGTTGTTGATGGTGGACCTGGCCGTGCAAACAGCTGAGCTGGCACCGTTGATGGGACTTTCGGTGGTATGCGCTCCCACCAGAGCGCATTCCAGAGTCATGAAAGGGATGGTCGCGCTCACATCTCTGATGTATACATTAGCAAAGCAGAGACACCCAACATAGAGATGCATACTCTTGTCCTTTGTGCGTGTTGGTCCAGATGATGGTACTCTCGCCTTCGGTGACTGTGATGGGCGGATCCCACCCACAATCCGAGGTCGACACATTGTTCCCGCAGCCGAGCGCAAAGGCTGTATGATTCGGAGACTGTATATTTCGTCAATTCCGCTTATATACATGCGCCTCAAAGCAGATGGTCGCATCAGGCTTCAGTCTTGGCGTCGCATTGGGTCGCTTACAGCTGAGATGATAGACGCTTCAATCTGGTCCGGGCTGCCCATAGGAAGGAAGAGAGACACAATCGAAGTTCCTGTGGGCGAAGGCGATCCTGTTGCCGATGTGCTAGAAGCCGTAGTGAGTGGTGTCACATCTTGCGCCCAAGCGCCCGCCGCCAGGCTGGCCGCGATAACAGCTGCGCGCATCTTGGTATGCTACAACGCCCGCCGCAATCTGCCTTTGCAGGCCTTCCCAGGACTTGCGATAAGGATGCTGGAGGGTGGAAGATGATGAAAAGGACATCCCCGCCGGCGGCGGCGGCGGTGGTATGGTTGTGCCATGACGACGCACGTGGTTGGCGCAAGGCTTGACGGCGGAGGAGCCAAGGACGAGGAATGCCACGGCGCTGGTGTTATAGTAGCACAAACGCCACGGATTGTGCTAGGATTAGTCCGAGGCGCATCGCTGGGAGGAGCATGACTGGTTGTCGCTGCGGTAGAGTTGCCTTGTGCAGCCTTGGTATCGACTCGGCGGAGTGGCTTCACTCCCTTGGCGTCGGCGCGTCGCTTCTCGTACGCGATGCTCGAGCTGTCCTGGTGCAAGAAGTTCTGATCAACACATCACTTCCACAACACCCCGACTGGACGTCGCACCATGGCCGCAGACTGGACGACTGAAGTGCAGGCCGCCTTTCAGGGTGACCCCGACTTGGCCGCACGAATCGTCGCAGTCGGGACGCAATACCAGGGAGAACTGCCGGCATTGTTCGCCGACATAGCCAGATACGTGCGCGGCGGGACTGCGACTTTGTCTGTACAGCCCGGCAACACCAAGAAGCGGAAGCTGGACGATGCATCACAGCCTACACAGTCGAGCACAAATGGGACGACGGCAGGAGCTGGAATCGCCAACCCGACCACGACCTTCGAATGCAAGAATGTCAGCTTCCAGGTCCCGGCGCGAAAGAAGCTGAAGCTGCAGCTGGTCGCCGAGCAGTCAGATTCGAGGAGACGAGAAGTGCGGCTACTCAATGCGCAGACGAATGACATCGAATACACCATCCCCAATGGGCAGATCGACCAGATCTTCTGCTTGCCTGTGCCGGAGAAACAGCAACGGCAGTCCAGCTTCGTCATAATACCCCAGGCAGGGGCAGTGGCTGCGGATGGGACATCATGCGAGCAGATTGTGTTCACGATGAACGAGACGAAGCCAGACGATGCAGCATCTGCAAGCCGCGCGAAGACGGAGCAGGATAACTACATCACTGTCACAGAACCGGAGCTCAACGATCTGCTACACGCGTACGGGAAGCAGGTCGTCCGCCCCGACGAGAACGAATTCGCGAGCAGCATTCCGCAGTCGCATCGTAAAGGCGAGAAGGCATATCATGTAAAGGCGCATAGGGGCACGAAAGAGGGTAAGTCCGATCAGCAGCCACAGTGATCAACAACCTCGAGGACTCGACTAACCTCCACCAGGCTACCTCTTCTTCCTCCCCAACGGCATACTCTTCGGTTTCAAAAAGCCCCTCTCCTTCTTCCCTTTCTCCTCAGTCGAATCCATAAGCTACACCTCCGTCCTCCAACGAACGTTCAACCTCGTCATTACCGCAACCGAAGGCGGGAGTACCGAAGGAAAAGACGTTGAATTCAGCATGATCGATCAGGCAGATTTTGCAGGAATCGATGAATACGTCAAGCGACATGGTCTGAACGACGCATCTATGGCGGCAGAACGCCGCGCAAAAGCTTACAATGTGAACAAGGAGAAGAAGGATGCAAACGGTGATGGAGGAGAACAAGCGCCAGCAGGCGGAGTAGGAGAGGATGGTTTGACAGAGCTGCAGCGAGCGGAACAGCAATTGCAGGATCAGGAAGACGAGGAGGAAGAGGACTATGTGGAGTCTGGCGGGGAGAGTGATGGGGAGGGAGAGAGCAGTGAGGAGGACGGTGAGGGGTATGCCGAGGGAGAAGGGGAGTACGATGAGGAGGAAGAAGTCGAAGAGTAGATGGACCGCAGTGTGTTTGCACTGATGCACGACTGGCGCCACTTGCAGATGTACATGATGAATGACCAACGAAGAGAACTCCTCCCGAGCTGCAGATGCTCGTGGATAACAAGCCAATGGTGGCACGATTGAAACGGATACGACGAGCTGGAACGACAAACATGCGGAGACGGCCCAAATGTCGACCGCTTCTGATCGGCCTTCATGTCTCGATTCCTGAGTCCTCGTTTTGGCCTTCCAATCCCAGATCGAAGAGTAGACTACGCTTTGGAGTCATAGAACCGAGCAGACAGGATATCAGAGGTAGCTACGGCTACTAATGGTCCGGAGGGCAAGCGGTGTGCAGTATGTGCATGAGAGACTGACTTGAGCTGGCTGACGATCAAATTGACTAGTGCTCTAGTCCTCACTCTTCTCCGTACGCGCCGCAAACGACACTGTGCATGAACTTGAATATCCGCCAAGAATAGCACATACGTGTTATCACGGTTTCTATGCTACCCGACCATTCTGCCGTCCGCTCTCCGATCTTTACCATGCCTTCCAATCGCACGTGCTGCTTGGCGTGAAAGACTTTGCAAGATTGATGGGCATTGAAGATAGGCTGAATCTAAGAGAAATGGCATTGTACAGCAGTGCCTGCTCTCCGAACAGCCATCGCGGCACGGTCTCGTTGAAGTATTACACCGACCAAGCCCACCCACGATTTGCCCACCTGCGAAGTCACGACGCTCCCCCTCGTATGCACAGATATAAATCTCGAGCATCATGCAACCAGCCCGCGCGTCTCATCGGATTGCCTAAAGGGCGCCGGCAATGTGCCGGATAGAAGCACATTCTAAGAAGTATGTGCCAAGGATTCCGACTTCGGGCACGACACTGCACATCACCAATGAGGACAGACATTAAAATAGAGAGAGGAAGAAGACGTAAGTTAGCATGTTTGTTCGCACATCTACTCAAAATGCATGAAGGCTACTCTACGACCATCAACGCCACTACAGGTGCCGATATCACTGATGCTTGCACTGCAGACACAATGCCGTCAGCCCTTCATCACTGGATCCGAGAACGAGACACCTAAAGCCCACAAAAGCAAAGAAAAACTTACGCAGTAGATCTTGTCGGCGTTATTGACTCCGTACGAATTCAGATACCGACAATCATTGGCTGGGGGTCCGAACTTGTTGGTGGGATCGTTGGCGGCATTTTTCGCGCACTGTGGGAACGCGTGCAATTAGTAAATGGTCTTCCAAGAAAGCCAATGGAGACATCTCACCTGGAAGTAATTGGGAAACGCTCCGTTGAAGCTCTGAGAACAAGTATATGCGCCTGAAGGCATGTAGGTGCAATCCGCTGCAGTCACCGTTGCGGCGAATGCGCATACGGCTGCGATCAGGAATGTCTTCATTCTTGGCTGGAGAGTGAATGAAGTTGGATCTGGGGCTGCGCCTTCGTTTTGTCGGTGTAAGTTCTTGTCTAGAGGAGAGAGGGCATTGAACGACACATATACACATGGCACAGCTGAGACCTGGACTGAACAAAAAAGCACAGATGCGGCAACTAACGATCGGCGCCATGCCGTACTGACTAGATTGTCGAAGCCAAAAAGCAACGCTCCATAATTAAGTCGAGACCGTTTGAAACTACAGCTTTCAATAGATCCGGCGCCGTATTGGATATCGAGCCGGAGATTGGCCGTCAGAAGGACACCTCGGACTACTGAGATCGAGCAGATAAGGCACCATTAACGAGAAGAAATGCATCTAATCACGACAGATGTTTCCGGTTGCATCCAATCACTGTCATAACCATCAGTATTCAAGATTCGAATCAAAGCTTCTGGTGGACATACCCCATACGATCGCCCGTTTGGTCGCGATTCTTTACTTCTGTATGCATCAACTACCAACGAATAGCGTTCTCCAGGAACGCCATAAAACCAGCATGCTTCGTACCGCGACTCAGTGGCATAGTCTGTGGTCACAGAATGAGAGAGGGCCGAATAAGGGCGTATTATGTTCTTGATCGATGAGTATGTTGTGACTTCGACCTCTTCTTTTCAGCCCCTCATGAACGCAATGACTTTGTTACCAGAAGCAAATTACGGCAAAGATGCAGCAGAAACCAATTGTCAGAAAGGGCACTCTACACTACTGTAGTCAAGCAAGCCAAGGCAGATTGCTTCAACGTCGAGTCCGAATCTTCCTTCCAAGCACCAATTGAAGCGAACTCAAAACAGCTAAGCAGATCTGAGGAGTTCATCACGCACGCGGAACACCTCCGGGCCGCAACCACGCGCACTAAGATCCACCGCGGGCTTCTTTCGTGACTCCAGCAAGCTCCTGAAGCGCTCTTACTGCCTTGAGACTGGCACCAGACATTTCTTCCGTGACAAGAATGTCAGATGTCAACAGCTCCTTCACCATGCTCGCCATATCAACAAGCATTGTGGCCAGATTCTTCTTGAACTTGCCCGATCTCTCGCGACCCTGCTCGCCTGCAGAAATATCATCTTCTCCCTCGTTGGCTCGGATCCCGTTTTGATCCTGAGTATCCTCTTGATCGCTAATAGAAGTCTTCTTTGTACCTTGAGCTTCAATTGCAACTCTACGGTCGCTCTCCTCTTGAACCCTCTCGCAGATTCGTATGAATTCGTCGATGCGAGGCATGTCGGAATTCGCTTCGTTCAGCACCAGAAAATCGAGATCAAGGTGCTTTTCGTAGTCTGCAATGATTGCCTGAGCCTCATGCGACATCTTCTCCAACGGCGTGCCCTTCCACTTGAGTCCCTCCGGAATGCCCATGATTCTGAGATCGAGGTAGCGGTACTGCTTTTCGCGATGGCCATACCAGACGCGTTTGCCTGGGAAGGGGTCAGTTGCCGTAGACGCAAAGCAAGTGTTCGTATTAAATACTAACCTCTCTTCATGTGCGAGTTGGGCCCAGTATAGTGCGGTTCGGGCAGCTCAAAGCCAAGCGTCTCAACGTAGTGGCTGAGGACGCCAGCTGCGGGCTCGTCGCGGTCGTTGAACAGGAGGCCGTGGTCGGGCTCGATCGAGAAGCACTTTTCGAGTGGGATCGCAAGTTTGCGATATCCGGGAGGCTTGGTCGACAGGTCTCTGACGCTGAGTATCACCAGACCTTTCGTGCCCTCAAGTATCATGACTTTGAGGCTGATATTGATATTGCCATTTTCGCCATAACCCACGTTCGAGTCGAAGCTGACTAGGGCAGGGCCCCAGCCGAAAACGGTGGTCGCCGGCACCCTGGAAACTCCAGACATGTCGTCGCCAAGGGAGGAGTCCAAAGCGGGCGCAGGAGGGTGGCGGCGGCGGTGGTGCAGGTGATGTAAATCAAGAAGTTTGGGGGTGACGCGTTCGTCGAGTTCAACAACATGAATACGCGCTGCGCGGCTGCTCTGTTCACTGGCTGCCTGACCAAATGTTCAGGCCACCAAGCCGTCACGTCACCGTGGACGTTCGAGTAATAGCGCTCTCTCTCGCACCTTCTTGCAGCTTTCTAGAGCTAGAGCTTGCTGGAACGGCTACTGGTCGCGCGCTGAAGGTCAGTGCGACCTTCACTTGATCACGTGGCGCAAAAGTGTGCATTCATATTGCAAACTCTGTTTGACTCTTCCATCGAATCAGGGGTCAGACCAAGATTGCAATCCTGTCTTGGCCTGGCGGTTATCCGAACGAAACAGGAGCCACACACCATTTCACACAGATGGCGCAGCGTGGCGAGTCACACGACTGCGTCACACAGATGATCTGAGTCCCCTGTTCGATCCTCTCTCTTTTTGCCGTTCTTCTTGCTTCTTTTTCGAAATTTCGAAGGTCCTTGGTTCGAGTCGTGAATTTTGCAGTCGTTCGCGCAGCTTTGAGGTTTGGCGACCTTTTTGTCTCTTTTTTTTTTGCCTGCTTGGCGTTGGAGGCTGGAGCCCCGCGTCAGACCTTGAGACAGATCACGTAGCGACTCCCAAATCGAATCACCAGCTTCTCCTCGACTTTCAGACACCATCATGTCTTTCCATCACAAGTCGCGAGTTTATTGTCGCTTTCACAACTCGTCGTGTAGGCGTGATCAAGACTGCAACAGTCTTTTGTGCGGCTGGAAGCGCTTGTGCTCCGCAGCGTTCCTCTGAATGCCTCATGAGACACATTTCGCAAGAGCGCATGCTCACAGTGCCGTTGAATAGCAAATGAGCTAAAGGGCAGGCGCTGGGCGACTTGATAGTAGGATAGGCTTGTTCTTAGCACATGTCCAAGAGATGATTCTTGTCATACTGTTCTCCTGTCAACTTGAGAAAACTCATGCCGGTGGACATAACTCAGGCCTTGATATCTCCCGACCCGTCAGCCTCTTCCCGCTACGTTCTGTATGGGCTTTCCTTCCTACTACTCACAACGCTGCTCGCGATTGCCCATTTCGCTTCCGGCCTCGTTCCCGCCTTCCGAAGACCATGCTGCCTCTGAAGCTATCGCTGGCAGGCCAGCACTCGAATATCCGCAGAGAGACTCGCGTCGATGGCAGACGGCAGCTAGAGCAAATGCACTTTGAAGACAGGTCCCTGGAGTGATGAAGTGAAGTGTAGCACTATTAGTTCTAGCCTCGCCGATATTTCCGCTTGCCAAGGTCTCCGAAGCAAGGATCAACAACCTACGATCCCAATCCCAGCATGAAACGACAACAACAGATGCAGCATCATGACCATCACAATTCATCTCCGAACCAACGTGCTTACAAAAGGATGCAAGGCTGACCGCTCATCTCAAGCAGAAGCGCAGCACTTTCGCTGACCCTTCGCCGTACGGCCTAAAAGTGGCGTGAGAACTCCAAGCTCTACTAGTGGACTTCGATCTGGGAATTGAGAAAGCAGCGTCAACTTCTATGCATGTGGTATTGTGCAGACAACGAACAGATCCGGTCCTGATCTGATCAGCAGCCGACACCATATCGCGCAAAAGAAAAACGCAACAGAGCGCGGACGCCTCCACTCTACATCCTCATCTAAGCAGCTGCGCTGTCACGAAGAATCCATGCGCCACTTCTTTCGACATAGCCCAATTTGAAAGCCAACGGAGATGCTTCTGGTCAGTCTGATGATGACCGTCTCGGTATAGAAGTCCTGTACGCATAGTTATAGCATGCAACGAAGTGCGAGCGCTCGTGGTGTTGTTTGGCTCTCCGAATTCGATCACCATTCTGAGCCATCCTTCCGAGAGTTCTGCCTGAGCCAGTTCAGTTCTCGAGTCAGAAGACCATATAAATGCTGCGGCGAGGCTCCATGTCACTCGTGTTCAATGCTGCATCCGATAAGTGCGAGAGCTCGGAGTCTGGGCTTTTCTCTCTGAATCCAGCTTCTATCCTGCACCGCCATCTAGAGAGATCGCCCCCGACCTAGCCCCGCTCTCAGGCCAGAAACAACACCAATGTCCCACGGGAGCCCAACATCGTCATGCCAGAAGATGCATGGTCGAACAGTCAGGTATCTTTACTGGCGGCGCCCTCTGCTCTGCACTTCAATCATCCCGTCTGGATCATCGTCTGAAGCATCGTCTGAATCGTGATCGCTCCGCGATGGTAAGCGAGACCGAATCGGCTGCCCCGTCGGACCACCCACCATCTCTACATCCCCATCCGCATCCCTCGCAAGCGCAACCGGAACTTTCGTGTCCGTTGTCAAGACTTTCAGCGCCGTCCATCTCGGATCGTCAGCTTTCGCGTTCCTCATGTCAATTGCAGCATCGTGTTTTAGGTCTCCACTCTTCGTCGTCGCAGCTTTCTTGATCTCCAAAAGGGTTGGCCGGTCATCGAGGTCCCGACTCAGACATCTCTCGATCAAGTCGATGAGTTCGTTACTGTAGGTGGTCTGTGTGACGGCGGACCACCCAGGATCATCGTCTTCAGGGACCTCCCAGACTGCCTCGATGAGTGTCCGAGCTATCATGCCTATGCCGCGGACGTTCGATGAAGAACCTGGTATGAAGGTGCCAGCGTTCGCGGGTCCTTGCCTCTGAAGGACATGTCAGCATTGTTGCGGACAGCAATGATTCACTTTTGCCATAGATACGAAGATGAAACTTACGTACCGGTGCCGCTGACCTTCCATTACCAAACGCCCGCCAGGGCCTTGAGTCTCCGCCGGGATGTTTGATGGGATGTATGATAGCCAAACCAAAATCTGCAAGTATTGCACGAGGGAACCCTGTGAATATCCCCGTCCTATTGTCATCGAGCAGCACGTTGGCAGCCTTCATATCTCCATGTACGATTTGAGTCCAATTATGCAAACCCGGAGGGACGTCGGCCACCTCACCGCGCTCCATCAGCAGTCCAGAGTCTGCCAAGGACTCAAGGACAGACCAGACGAATGCTTCAGGGGGCATTTGCCGCCCCGAGAGATTCACATATTGATTACGTACCTTCTCAAGATCACCATGTTGGCAAAGGTTCATGTAGATAATGGATGTCTTGCCGTCTCCAACGGGGCGCCAATTTCGAATCTGGATGACGGACTTGACCGAATCTTTGAGAGCGCGCAGTCTGTACATTGCCGCGACCTCTACAGGCATATGGCGATCCGCTGGACGCCAGATATCGTAGAGGGTATGCCCGTTCGGTGTCAGGTTCTGGGCCACCTTCCTCGCAACGCGCTAGTCGTACGTCAGCAAAGCCCGTACTAAATCGAGCTGCACCACTGCTTACATCAACTACGTTGTTATTGTGATCAGTTCTGATCCACGCTTCGACCTGGCCGAAAGCGCCTTTTCCCACCATGTTCTGCACTCTAGACCATGGCAGGACAGGCAGACTCTGCAAAAGAGCTGCTTCGTCGTCCTTCGAAGAGTAACGCTCTTCAAGCACGCTTTGCTTATATCTGACTTGAATCTCCAGATCCGCCAGTCTTCGTGCTACTGATCTGTGTAAAGTCTCCATGTGTCCCTCCAGGTCCACAGTCAATGTATCTCCCCGAGCTGCCCGCAAAACAATAAGGTCACTGAGAGCATTCTCCGCATATCGATACGCCGCTGCGCATTCTTCCCACTGGAGGAGATGATGCTGGTACGCGACTCGATTGGCAACATCGGGAGTTGCATCGCTTTTGGCTTCCTCGCGAGCGAGGGCAACAGCATCGGCGCTAGACCAAGCTGTCAGGCCGTTAATCAGCTCTGTCAGGTTCTTCGTCACAGATCTTGCTTCCGCAATCTCCTCGCGCAAGTAAGGCACATATCTTCCGGCCAGAGTTCCCGTAGCCTTAGATTGTCGCTTCTCGACACCTTCGATGGCACGTCGAAATGTCGGCATCTGTTCGTTCAGCCTAATGAAGGCTCCGAGCCTGCGTTGCAGGTAATTTGGAATTCGTCGACCTTCATCATCAGCTGGGTCAGGACTATCCGCTTCTAACATGTCAATATATCGGCTTGGTCGACACGCTGGAAGTTTTCCTAGTCGGATATCCAGCGCCTCGATCCCTTCACGAGCCAAGTCCTCGTTAACGTCCGCACTTGCTTGGAGGAAGTCCCTCGTGCGCAAAGACCCAGCGCTGTCGCCGGGAATGCGTCGTATCAAAGCCCTGATCGGCAGACGAAGGGCCCGGCGGGCCACAAGAAGGTCCCATGCCCTCCGAAACCACGGTGACAATGCGGCAAGGTCGTCAGTGTCAGGTTCTGGTGGCAGGCCGGCGAGCGGTGCAATCTTTGCTAGTAGCGATAGTCGCTGCTGAGCTTCGTCAGCGAAAACATGCCGCTCGGCGGGACTGACGCGACGCCGCCAGATGTGTTGCGCATTTCGCCGGACGGCTGTCAATTTATCAGCAGGTGCGTATTTTCACCTTGGCTTTACACGTACTATTTCGACCAACATCGGTAATCGGCTGTCCGTTGCCTGTTTTCTCTGATTCCCACGCCTCGACGTGCAACTCAACCCATGCGTGTTCCTCTGCCATGCTTGATTCGGTCAGCAAGTCAATGATGTGGATCACACAGTAAGTCAGACTCTTCAGCTCGCCCACTTCTTTCAAAGTAGCTCTTCTTTCAGCGAAGGTCATACAAAGAGCTCTCGGAGCGAAACGTGTTTGGCCGGGTTTGGGTTGTGCGCTTTGTCTTGGGTTTTATGCTTTGATCTGCGATGTTGGCGAGAGCAACTCCTGAGTCCGTAGCTTTCGCTCACAGATCTGTCACACTTCAGATGATGAAGACGACTAAGTTCTGGGCATGGGTTCTCTCAAGTTGCTTCTGTCAAGCAGACAATTTTCACTCTCAGTCAAACTGTTGCAGGCTGGTTCTTCATTTTGATCAGCGACAGCACAGTCTCGGACCCGGAACGTGAAATGCGTTAGATTTCGCAACAAGCGAGTTGGTGTAGTGATGCACTGCCGATTCCACAGGAGAGCTTCGACCCCTAGAAACTCGCCCACAATCCCTCACGGTACAATCGTGATGATCTCCTGACTTGTCGCGACAGTATCTGCCTTCTGTGCCACTTCATCCTTCAGAGCCTGCATTCTAACCTTCCACCTCTCTTGGCACTCGGCAGCTTCTTCGAGGTCATCACCATGCTCATGGCACACGCAAGGACCGATCGCCTGTGCAGGAACTGTATCTTCCCAAGTATGCGCTCGATCATGAGTGTGACGTTGGCGCGCCTGGCAAGTTGGGCAGTGCTTTGCTTGCATGAAGCGCATGCTTTGTAGATAGCACTGGGCAAGGAAGCTGGACGGCATTCGACACAGTTTGGGGAAGCGGCGCTCCACAGCCCGTGCTGACTGGGCCTGATAATATCGCGAGAGTAATTGTAGCAATTTTGAGTTTTGTGGCATGTTGTCAACGAGGTATGTGATATCGTCTGGGTCTGGCAGCCAGCGGGATTCGTAAAGCATGGCGTTGCGCGCCATCCTCAGCTGGATGAGATCAAAGACCTTGATACGAAGGCCTCGTGTGTCGTACTGCGAACGTGTTAGATAGGATTCGTTCGGAATACACACTCGCATACCTTTTCTGAGAACACATATAGCTCAAACAAATCTATCCAGGGCCAAGTCATAGCATCATATGGATCGTACGGATCGATGTGGCATCTCGCAGATAAGGGCGCCTTCGCTACTTGCTCGTCGTAGTCGGAGTCCAGCAGCATGTCACTACCCGAAGCAGTAGTGGCATCTGCGCTAGCTTCTTGGTGTGAAGTTGTGCGGCGTCCCGTTGCGGGCTCCAGCGCTGTACTGTTGCTCTGCTGGCCGGACGTGCAAGGGGCGGTGTTATCGGGCTCGACGCGCTCCTCGTCGTAGAAGATTTCCTGATAGAACAGCCAAGCGACGAATATTCGAAAGATCATTGGCGACACATCGTCAACTTGCAGCGTTTTCGACCGGCTCTCGGTCCATTGCTTGCGGAAGGCGCTCTCAAAGTACTTGGAATGGCTGCGGATGAGACCTCTGGGCACGACGAACTCTTCAGAGAGTGCGTTCTCATCTTTACCGACGACGCCGGCTTGTGAGACGACTATTGTCACCATGGTCGGGTTGTATAGCTCTCTGCTCTCGTTAGATATGATGCCTTACATTAGTCGTTAAAAATTACCTACGCCGCTGAGAAGCGTTTCCGCGATCGTCTTGTCGGTGAGTTGTCCCGAGCCTTACGTTTGCCGAGGACTGTGCTTGAGGACATGACGGCAACGTGGTCTGTCCTATGCTGGCGATTGTGGTTGATGTAGAGGAGAAGTTGAAGCGCGTGACTTCCCAAGAGGGCACCTGTTCATGGATCCGATGAGCTGACTTCACCTGGTGAGCCGAGAGTTCCGAAATGCCCACAAGCGACAGGAAGAAAGGTCAAATACAAATCTTCCGATGGTTTCGATGTTGCGGTACCCAATGAAGTGCAGTGGTTATCGGATTATTGCTACACCAGTCTTCGGGACAATTCACGAGGCTCGAAGATGGCACCTGTGGCGCCACAGAGCTGACATCGATGCGCTGAGCGGAGAGCAATACCCTGTTGTCGAAGAAGCTAGAGCAATATACAATACTTCTGCGATGCCGACACCGAACAGCACCGATGTGGTGAGATGAAGTGGCATTGTTGCTGACCATCCCGCGACTGCCATTTGGTGGCCGAGAACACCCCACCTCCGTCATCGCTTCAACTTTTCTGAGCCACAACCTCCCATTGAAGCTCACACACTCAACCTACTTCTCCCTCGTCCTCTCTCCTCTGGCCCTCCTTCCGGGCATAGCTTCAGCAATGCCTCAGCTCAACTGCCTCGCCACCTTCGATCCGCCGTGCACGTCGCGTACCTGGCTCTCAACACCACACCCCCACCTCCCCATCATCGCAACCGCATGCTCAGATAAGACCGTCCGTATTTACAGCCTCCAAACCTTCAAACAACTCAGCGTCATCTCAGGCGGCCATAAACGAAGTATTCGATCTTGTGCGTGGAAGCCCGACTCCGTCGGCGAAAGCGTGCTCGCCACAGGCTCCTTCGACGCGAGCGCGGGAATATGGAAACGATGGGAAGAAGGTGCAGGAGCAGGGACAGTCGGCGGAGTGAGCAAGTCAAATGCGGATGATGATGGAGATGAGCCAATGGACTTCACAGGAGGACTGGCAGGTGGGAGTGCGGAGAAAGAGGAAGACGATGAGGAGTGGAGGTTAGAAGTCATTCTCGACGGACATGATTCAGAGATCAAGAGTTTGGCGTTCTGTCCTACGGCGCCATTGCTGGCAACTTGCAGTCGAGACAAGAGTGTGTGGGTGTGGGAGGAGCTGGACGACGATAATTTTGAGACTATGGCAGTGCTGCAGGATCATGAGGGAGATGTGAAGTGCGTAGCTTGGCATCCAGAGGAGCAACTGCTCGCCTCCGGGAGTTACGATGATCGAATACGGTTGTGGAGAGAAGATGTAGACGACTGGGCATGTTGCACGCTGTTGGATGGGCACGCAGGAACAGTATGGTGGCTGGAGTTCGAAGGAAAAGACAGGGTTGGCAACATTGGAGGTGGAGAAGCGGATACAGAAGAGCGAAAGGCATTGGTTGAGGAACGAAAGAAGGCTGGGCCGCGACTCATGAGCTGTTCTGATGACAAGACGATACGTGTCTGGAGAAGGAAGCCGAAGGAGAAGCCAGCAGAGCCGCCGACTGGGCAAGGCAGGATGCCCAGCATCTGGAAGAACAACAATTTTGAGGAAGAGTGGGTGGAGGAAGCCAGATTACCACAACTGCACGACAGACCAATCTACGCTGCAAGCTGGAGCAAGAAAACTGGAAGAGTAGTCAGTGCTGGCAGCGACGGCATCGTTGTAGTATACGAAGAAAGATGGAGGAAAGAGAAGCCGGTCGATATCGAGATGGTGAACACAGAACCCGATCATGCAAATGGAGTCGCCGATCATCCCGCCAGCTTGACTGAATGGATTTTGGTGGCCCAGGCTGAAAACGCACACGATGTCTTCGAGGTGAACCATGTCACTTGGGCACCTCGATGCGATAAAGGCAAATGCACGGAAGATGAAGAGGTCATCATCAGCACTGGCGACGATGGAGATGTCAAAGTATGGACTCTAGACGGCTGAGTCTCGCCCACGCGAACGCAATATGATGCTCTTTCAGAGAGCTTCACTATCTTGCACTCGGAATGCGCCGAATCGTCAGTCGAACCCGCGCAACGAAGGCCATGAACATGGCAGTCGGACACATTATTTGCCAGACTTTAGTCCCCTCCTAGATACAGACGGTCGTCTTGAAGCTGCTTCATCAAAGGCTCCGCTCGATCTCAGAGCCTCAAGCTCGCCAGTAACCGCTTCACGAGGACGAGATCGATTTTTTTGTACCACAAGCAGTCAATACTGGCTGGGCCGCAACTCAACATCAAAACGAGCTGTTTGGACATGCGGCCAAATATCGTTGGCACGGGCTCTACCTTGTCAAGGAGCCCTACGCAACGGCCAGTTCTCCAAGACCCAGAGCTTAGTGATAAGGCATTGCGCTGCGATCGCCCACGATTCGACTTCAGATATGTGCCTCGTTCCGGATTCTGGTGAGCTTATACTCCAAGACAATGTTATCCGAACGATCGATTCCACCTCGAACAAGGCCTCGCTGCATGAATATATCTATGCGCCGATTACTATTAGTGAGCCGTTGGGAATGACTCAAGAAGAAAGAGAGGAGTTTGGGCGTGAGCCGCTGCAAGAGCTGGAGGCTCTGATGTTGTCAACGCTGCTGTTCTAGTGCCTGACGCACATACTCGCCCTTTTCTTCTTGAGTCATTCCCAATGGCTCACTAACAGTAGTCGGCGAATAGAAGTACCTCGTCCAAGACCTCAAGCGCGATCTGTGCATCGTCCGAGGAAAGATAGATCTTAAAATAAGAACGCTATGCCTACCTCCAATGTTTGGGGCCGATCATCAAGGAAATTATGCAGCGAGGTTGCGAGTGACGCTCGGAGGCCGATGCGCAGCTGTACACTGATTCGCACCGCGTGATGCTTTGGCCATGCTGCAGCTGCACACGTGCAGATACACACGCACCGACGTCCACTATCTGAGTGCCGATACTTCTTCACGGAACATCAAAGCACGTGGAAGTCATCGTGCACAAGTGGGTCCGGCATATCAGCCGAGCCATGCGTATGCCACATCGACGCGCTCCAGACATGTGGCTGCACGCATAGCAGTTGAGAAAAACAGTGCAATCTCGAAACAAAGGATGATCAATATCTGAGCAAATCTTGTGTATTCGGTGAAGAGGATCTGTTACCATGAACACCAGCCGCTATGCTCAACAAACGAAAGAGCGCAATGCAGTGCGAGCTACACAAGAGAACATCCCGCCACCACAGCGACCTTTCACTCGTAGATATAGCAGAACGGCCCACCAGTAGTGCTCATCATATCGCCCACACGAATCCCATCCAGTATGGGAGACACATAGATCCAACTATCCGGCGTCACAAGTTCCGTCGGTTGCCCTACAAATCCACGTCAGCATCAATGTCACAGTTGGAAAGGGTACGCATAACCCACAGCCTCTAGAAACCCTCTCAGCAGCATACTGCTCAGGCGGCGGCAGGGCGTACATCCGATCATTATAGTCCAAACTTTGCCACATGCGCCAAAGACGATCCAATCCGCAATGATGGGTCCAGAACCAAGGATCACAAGGCGAGCCGGGGATATCGCTTTGTGCACCACCGACAATCTCATGCGGCGTGCTATGGAGGCCTCCAGGGAAATTTTCGAAGCGGAGACAGAAGTTGCCGATGTCTACCATCAACACGTCAGCCCTCATTCGCGACTACCGCTCTCACTCGCTGTGCGGCACTCTTTGTGGTGCATGGACTCACCAGTATACAGTGTTATCGACTCATAGACGTTCTCAACAGTCAAGTTGCCAATGTGCTCGTAGTTGAACTCTCGTTCCAGACATCGAGGGTTGAAGCCCAGGCCATTGGCTTGGGGATTCGGTCGACAGCCATGCCCACCTTGAATAGGGCCAAGATGACACTGAAAGTCGGCGAAAGGACCATCGACGCAGTGACAGCCATCGGGTTGAAGGAAGCCGTTGGTTCCGAAGGAAGTATCGGAGCCATCGAACAGAGGAGTTTGCTCGAGTGGTTGGTAACCGTATTTTTCGTAGGCCATGTATGGGAGACCTGGGTGACGTGTGAAGATCGTGGTCAGTGTCAAGTTCGCTGCCTCCCTGTGCCGCTTCCTCTCAGTGATGGTATGCCTCACCTCCTTGATAACCACATTCATTACGAAGCGCTTGCTCGTATAACCATATAAACCAACTGTGGAAAGCCAATGTCCACGGCGAAAAATGGACCTTCTCGTGGTTGGCGATATGTGCCACTGTGAAATCGTCCCTTCGGTTTTGTGCTCCCGGGGCATAAAAGTCGTGTGATTTTGAAGGTAGGTTATTCAAGCACCTCGTGGCACGAATGTAATCTTGTCGCTCAGCGGGCGACATGTTTCCCCTGCCGAGAGAAGAAAAGGTCAGCCAAGACACTCCCGACGACGCCGCGTGCCTTGCATTGATGTTCACGCACCATTCTTTCCGTCGAATGACATTGTTCTCGTTGCATCGCGCGTTGAATGTCTGTCGAACCTCTGCTTCGTACCCTTGCTTCAGTTCTTCGAGTTGAAAAGCCTCTCCTCCTTGTTGTCTCTTGTGATGTTTGAAGTGAGAGTATTCCGACTTAGCGATCGAAGCAGGAAGTACAGCCAGAACAGCCCATATTAGCGAAAGCATTATGACCTAAAGAGCGGATAGAATGAATGACTGAGAAAGGAAAGCGAAGAGTTGAAGTCGGCTCAGGTACCAACAACTGCAAAAGGGAGAGGGCAGGGCTTGGTCATGACGACCTGCGGCGAATGAGGGCTTGTAATTGTAATAATGTTTGCTCCCTTGCGAGCGGGCATCGTCCGTGAGTAGGAGAATTCGGCTGCAGATGGCACTGGAGAGGAGGCAGGCAGACCCTGGTGGAGTTCTCATCTCGCTCGACACGGATGTGCCTGCCAAGTTTGAGAAGACGCGGACGCTTCCTCGAAAGGTTGTCATGCAGGAACGAGAGGAACCATTCGCGCTGCAGAGTTGCAGCAGAGTAAATCTGGTCTGTTCTCAGCCTGTGGTGTGACGGGCTTTGAGTGCCACGCGTGGAGAATGAGCTTGGTATGCGCTTTGACGCTTCGTCCAGAAGGCGTAGACGGAGATGCGCGTCGTCATCAATACTCGGAGAGCCTTCTCTTCTTTGTTGCCTTGCATTGTGCAAGAGCCTCTGGATTGGCATATTCGCCATGTCGCTAGTGATCATCAATTCTATGTGGTCGTCAGAATGGATTCAGCGCCGCTTCACAGCCAGTGTCACTGCATATGGACTCAGTCTTTCACTCTAAGAAATGCCGGGAAGAACGGCGTTGCCAAATGTTCCTATAAATATTGAGTTCGGTGATGATACTCTCCCCAGAATTGCGACCAGGAACTGGTTGGCCGTAGCCAAAATTACGTTCGCAAGCATGCTCTTCTGTCGGGACGGTATCCTCATGCGGCTCTATCCGCGATTCGACATTGCATATTGAGTTCGTCAGGTACGAGGAGTGCGACGTCAAACGCTGCTCGCGTGCTCGACCTGCTGTCTGTGTTGTCTCATTCTTGCACTTCAGTAGTATAGTCGGCGGCGGGCCTCACAAGTCAGACTAGAGGAGTGCAAGGACTGCAAGAGCCTCTGGCAATGCCCACAGTGATGGAAGACGAGCGGGGGACACTTGGCATGGTATTGTTGGTGATATCGTGGGGAGGTCTGAGGATACGAGAAATGGAAGGTTAACGACTTCGCGTGATCTGTGCTTTCCTCATCACGTGGAAGTTCTAGATCTCCTCATCCTCCCCCTTCTTCACACCACGAAAGAGCTTGGACTTCGACCACATTGGCCTGCGCTACGACATCACAAGCAGATCGGACGTACAGCATGCCATCCAGCAACAAGGACGTGGCGAAGTTCAAACGACAGCAACGCAGCGGTCGAATCTGCCACAACGGGCGCACCCGGTATCAGTCCAACTGATACTCCGCACGAATATGAGTCCACTGCACGACTGGCAGCACATGCAAGAGCGAGGGTGAAAGGATGGCGCACATCGCTGCACGCGCCTCGAAAGTGCGACGTTCCAGTGTCCCCATGTGGATCTCTTGTGAGGAGCACTTCGATCGCTGCCAATACAGACCACACGAAGCCAATGTGCCAGTCGCAGACGGAGATCTCCGAGTCTCAAGGTTGCAGGTCACGATGGAGCGCGCATCTGTCCTCACAGCTGTAAGTTGGGAAAGGATGGAACATGAAGCCTATGCTGCGCGCCAGAGAGACATTTCTTTCGTTGAACGGAGACACGTCCATCCGTTCGCGCACACCGCGTTAGCACGACGTGACGAGCGTCAACGCGAAACAGGTTGATCGTGGCAAACACCTCCCGCAGCCTCCGACATCACCTCGATCATGTGAAACAATGCTGGAATCCTTCCAGTGATGCTGTCAATGGCGCTTGACTGCTATCCAAGGCAAGCCACCTAGTTCACGCTGGCCGAAAACCTCGTGCATGACCCAAGGCCCTTTCGCGTTCTGTCGACGCCCGAGAAATGGATAGAGATCTCTTGAAGGATCCCAACTGATTCACATCTGATATCTTTCAGGTTCTACGAGGCGACCCGCGAATGCATCGCATATCGATGCACCCGCGTAAGCGTCTACCAGATGATGTTCCCTCTCACGGGGAAACGGTCAGCAACGTTTGAGCCTTGCAGAACCAATCAGGAATTCGCCCAGCAGACCGTTTGCATCTTGAATCCACCAGATTGCGCATAGCGACAATCATTCGGCACATCAAGCGAGGCGCGGAGCCTGAGCCGCTGGGGAACATAACTGTTCCTAAGTATCCCTGGTACCCACGTGTCGATGCAGCTTAGCACTTGTCGATCGGCGTAACGCTAGTGGACAACGCTTATGCCACGTTCCAGATGTGCAGAATTAGATTCAATCCTGCGCGCGATATGTCTCACGATCAGTCTGTCGAGGGTCTGTATGTTGCTCATCATCAACATTCATCAAGCCGTTGACTACTTTGAGGAAATAGAATCAGCGAAATCAACAACGTCCCGCCGAATCTGAATCAAGTGAAGACAAGTAACAGGAGATGTCCAGTATAGCCGCAATCTCAACCGCAGAACAAGCTGATATCTCGAACGAGCTCTCAGGCTGGACTCCACTTCTTGGCGCGCATTGTCCTTCACAGCTGCTTGTTCGCAGGACAGTCGTGATACAAAGATGTGTACAGATCAGTAGTGATCATCGCCATCACGTTCCCAGTACCAAACTCGAAAGCGAGGCTGGCATACAGATCTTTACCCCACATGGAAATGAATGCGCCACCATCATCCGAAAGGCCCTGAGTGAACCACCGGTTATATCCGTGTAAGCTGCAGCTGCAGTGCTGCAGCGCGAACGCATTGGCAGACCATGCGGCATTGTGTGAAGGATGCGCAAACGTCAGAATTCAGATGTGCCAGATCTTTCCGCAGGCAAACGGCACGTTGGTGAGAATTCGACTGCTGGAAGATTGGTACAGTATCATCAACTGTCTCATTGCCTAATCTTGTCGACAGAAGCAACCCGATGACATGCATGCGTTCGATGCTCTCGCACTCTTTGAGGGGAGTCGACAGATGTATAAGATGAACCGCTCTCGACACTCGTTCCATCTTCATCCTCAGCAGCAATCCGAACAGTGCCCGGTTTCTCATATCTTATTTCGTATCTCCTGTGTCTTTATCGCATCAAAATGAACTCCATCAACAAGCTATCTCTCTTGGCTGTGGCCGCCAACGCAGCACCTCAGTTCGGCCCCAACTTTCCATTCGGAAATGGCAACCCATTTGGCCCGAACTTCCCATTCGGGAACAACAACCCATTTGGCCCAGGCTTCCCTTTCGGCAACAACAACCCAGGCGCTACGACGACGACTCCTGCTGCTACCCCAAGACCAACTTGCGCGGGCACACCTTTTGTCATCCCAGGACAGGTCATTCAAGGCTTCACGTTCCCACCATTCGTGACCATTCCAGCCTTCACTATCCCAGACCGTACACTGACGCTGCCTGGTGTCTGTGCGCCTACTCCAGGTCTTCCAGGTGTGACCACTACGACCAGCATCACCTTGCCCACGACCACCACCACTAGCATCACCCTTCCGACAACCACCACCACCAGTGGCGGCCTGCCTCTGCCCACGGATACTCTTGTGGCAATTGGCGAGAATGGCGAAATCTTTTCTTTCAATATCCAGAAAGACAAGGCCGTCGCTGGAGACGTCATCTCGTCGGTGATCTTGGAACCAGGCACCGTTCTTCCAGATACCGACCTTCCAGTAGATCTCCCAGACACCGAACTTCCAGACACCGACCTCCCAATTGATCTCCCAATCAAGGCTAAGCGCCAGGTGAACATTGGTGTCGCCGCGGTCCAGGAGTGTGCCAACCTCTGTGCCGGCAACGACGCCTGCGATGGCTTCCAAACCTTCGTCAACGATCAAGATGAACAACAGTGTGACCTCAAGAACAACCTCGGAGCGGTTTCGGACTTGATTGGCTCCGTCATTGGCTTCAAGGGAAACCAGATCATTCCTGGTGATGACATGACCACAACCACAACCACTACAACCGGTATGTTCTTAAGACCTGATCTGTTCATTGCTCGCCGCTAATATCAATCAGCTACTACGACTGGTACTACCACCACCACCACAACTACTACAACAACCACCAGCGGCGGTAGTAAGTTCTCAATGCTGAGAAGCCTCTCGATACATTCTAACAATTTAAATAGTCACTCTGCCTACCGATATTGTTGATGATGAGCTTCCTATCGATGATGAACTCCCTATCGATGATGAGCTTCCTATCGATGATGAGCTCCCAATTGATGATGAGCTCCCTACCGATGAGCTTCCTGTCGACGAGCTCCCTGTCGATGAACTTCCTACCGATGAGCTTCCTACCGACGAGCTTCCCGTTGATGAGCTCCCGACTGATGAGCTTCCGACCGACGAGCTTCCCGTCGATGAGCTTCCAGTCGACGAGCTTCCAGTGGATGAGCTCCCCACCGACAACTTGCCCACCGACAACTTGCCCACCGACAACTTGCCCACCGACAACTTGCCCACTGACAACTTGCCAACCGACAACCTGCCTCTCGATAACCTGCCAAGTAAGTTCAATCGTTGATCCAACACTGTGTGCTAAGTCGTTGCTAATTGAACATGCAGTCCTCGGTGGCATCTAAGAGCCGAAGGTAGAGGAAACACACCTCTCGAAAGGAAGGATCACAGATATAATGAACAAGTGCGACGAGTCATCTTACAGACATCGCTCGCAACGATGATAAGGGAAACTACCAATGTGTAATTAGATCATAGGGGTTGGATATAGTAATTGTCGTCATATGTTTGCTTGTCAAACATTTCTACTTCGCATTGATCAGTCTTCCCCAGCGCTGTGGTTCTCTCGTTCTTAAGCCGACTCATGAAACGTGGCGTTGTGATTTGTTCAAGCAAGGATAGTAGGAGTGGGCGCATAAGCCCTCTGCACTTCTTACATGGTGCATTGCCTAGCCGGTCTGAGTTACGGGACATCAGTACGTTCTGCTAGCTTGGCTCGATGGAGGTCTTTGTACTGTTGCGAACGACGATGAAATCTCCACACTTGTTCATGGCTCAGCGATTCCGAGAGTCTACTTGCGGACGTCGCCTACGGCTTGACAATCTCGATGTATTCTTCTTGCGCTGGGAACGGGCTCAAGCTAGATCAAATCTCGAAGGCACTCCGATCCGGCTCTGCGACATAAGAGACGACGGCAGTCCATGCGTTGCTTTCCTGTCGTGCGAAATGTCTGAAAGCCGAGGTACAGTATTCTATCAGTATCAAAGCCAAGTCGTGCAGAAGTGCCTCATTTGCAGGCGAACAACATTATTCGCGATATCGGACGCGGTCGCAGCACCGCCAGAAAGCAGGCAAGTACTCCATGTGCCGCAATTCCACAGCAGCACTGAAAAGAAAGATGAAACTCTCACTTACTGTGCCGTCTTCAGCGAAGACCTGCAGCAACACGGCACAGCATCTCTTCCCACTCGCCTTCCCTCATCGCCTCGCCTCGCTTGAGCACACAGTGGACCCCATCCCATCAAGCCCAGGCAAAAAATAGCCCATCTCTACAAGACCAGCAATCCCAGTCTTAACACTCCCCATCGAGTCCAATTCATCCAAAAACAGCCAGATCATCAACTCACCCCGCGCAACACATCTCGTTTGGACGAAGAAGAAGTTGGTGAACGAGCGATGGAGTTAAACATAATCGACGGTGCCTTCGGAGTCATGTCCCGAGAAGGAGGCTCGGGAGGGTTGGCGTCGCTCTGCAGCTGCGATCATGTCGGTAGTTTGTCTGACTCGCGTGGCCGCGACAGCTTTATGGGGCCATTTGAGAACTTGGCACCATGCGTGCCCTTCCATCACCAGACGCACAGGACGGGCAGACGGGAAGCTGCAGTGGAGCCTGACATACATAGGCGAGTGTGGCAAGTGGCGCGATTTCGCGCATGGAAGTGGGAAGGAAGTCGATACTCGTAGGCTTTCGCTATTCTCGTGTTCGTCTGCGATGCCAAAAGGCGCGAATTGGACGACATATACCTCTCAACCGACCTTCAAGGTGTCTTTGTTGTCTCGGTACATCGCAATGTCTCGGTATGTGAAGTATGCAAGTCGATGAAAGTGCATTGGGTAGTTCATGCTAAGAATTTTGCCAAAATCCGCGGACCGCCCCACGTACTCCACAAGCCTGCACGCCCTGACCAGGATCCGGCTCGAGCACTCCAAGGTGTAACAACGGCTCTTCCACGAGGCTGATGTCGGTTGGCAGAAGCACTCCTTCTGGAATCCTCGCCGATCCACAGAACTGGATCCTCCCGTCCAGACGATCTCTTGTTATAGGACTATTGCTCGTGCGTTGACCATGCACGAACAAGGCATGATGCCCGCTTTGGGAGCTGTGAAGCGTTGCCAGTGGAGGTCGTTCGCAAGAATCTCGCCCGGAAAGGAGAGCATGTAAGTGGAGTAGCGAGGCCATATGTGACATGCGACCTGCATTTGCAGTGGAATCTGTACCTGCAGAGAGAGTGCGCGAGATCTTTGGTTCCGTTTCCACTCTATCTCTTTACTTCTCCTCACTCTTCCTTATTGCGCCTGGGGTAATTCACAGGAGGAGGAACCATGGTCGGTTGATAGACTGAAGACTCCAGCTGTCTACTGCAAGAGCATTAGGATCCGGACTTGCGCTGCACACGGGCGAATCTCACGACAGAGACGACGCGAGAGGGAAGGGTCCCCAGTGCGATCCTTCAACATCGTCAATATGCCGACACTGGAAAGCCGAGCGACCTTGGGAGTCAACATCACCTTCTTCGTTCTATCATGGATAGCGGTCAGCCTTCGCGTCTTCGTCCGAGCCGGCATGCTTCGCAACTTCGGCAGCGATGACTGGACGATGCTGGCGACACTGGTATTCTTTACCGCATATCTCATAGTCCAACTCGGCGGTGTGGTATATGGAACAGGACAACACCTTTCGGACATCGAGCCTCACGATGCCGAGACCGCGCTGATGTACTGGTACCTGTGCGAAATCTTCTACGTATGCTCGACGACTGTTCTCAAAATTTCGATCGGGCTATTCCTGCTGCGGGTCGCGACGAATAGGATACACATCTGGATCATCAGGATAGTGATGCTACTGGGTCTTGTCTTTGGCGTGGCCTTCACATTCGTCATCATCTTCCAATGCTGGCCCATCAGCGACTGGTGGAGTTTGGATCCATCGCAGAAGCACTGCATCAAACCTGAAGTTGTCGTTGGCCTGACGTATGGCGTCTCCGGTCTCAATGTCATCGCGGACTGGACTTTAGGAATCTTGCCTGCGTTCATCGTCAAGGATTTGCAAATGTCCAAGAGGCAGAAGCGACTGGTAGCGGTGATCCTGTCTTTTGCTGCCATTGGATCCTCGGCTACTATTGTGCGACTGCCATATGTTGGCTCCCTCATCGAGAGCTTCGACGGCTGGAATGGGGATTTTCTGTGTAAGTGTTGACAATCAATCACGATGTGCGCCTGCTGATCTTTCCAGTCAATACCGTAGGAGTCGCAATATGGACGACGGTGGAGATCGGTGTTGGCATCACGGCAGGATGCATGGCCACCCTCCGGCCTCTATTCCGCATGGCCCTCGAAAAGATGGGTGTTGCAAGCAGCAGCGGAGGAAAGCGGTCAGGCGCAACGCCCGGCCCCTCTCGAGGTCGCGCAACTCCTCTCGACGACTTTGTGATGGTATCTCCCAAGCATGGAAGGACCATTACTACCATCACCGGGAATGATCGGGAGCGTCATGAGTCCGAGAGAAGCTCCGGGAGCAGTAGTCGAGAGCGCCTTTCTCGCCCACTTCCCGACAAGATTACGAAGAACTTCGTCGTGGAGTATGATGAAGACGAAGCTGATCATGAACACCAGCACGGCTTTACGCCGTTGCCTAGACGCAATTAGCGGTAATTTGTATATTATGAGACCAGATACTCCAGAAAAGTTCCAGTTCACTCAACGCGTGGCCGGTGGACAGTGCAAGGTGACGGTGCTCCGCAGCACGTGGAGAGTGCGTTTTCTTGCTCTTGCGTTCCAGCTTGGACACCGATTGTTGATGATGAAGACTGTGGGCAAGGCAAGGGAAGTCGAGGACACATCCAGCTTCCATTATCAAAACAATGCGTTGCCAAGCCTTGCTTCACGTCGAGTCGCGTCAGTTTCGCGTTGCTCGCTCTTCTCCTACAATCACGATACATCACAAGAACAATTGGCAAGAAACAACAATGGCATCACCACCGAGGCATCGGCCATGTAACATCGAATGTCGCATCTGATTCTGCATAATACTCGGCAGCGGTGAGCCGAAGTCGCGACGCGCCCAACACGGCACGCTGAAACGCTTCTCGGGCGCTTGGAGAAGGCGCTGCAAGAGCAAGCAATCCTCGCCAACCAACGTCTCGCAGTCGACATCACTTCAGGAAAGGCCCGCATCGTGCATTCAAGAGCGTGTCTTGACAGCCAACAAACACGTTCGCCCTACGGCAAGGTCATGCTGAACCACATTTTGTTGCTCGAAACGCCCTGTACTACCCGCAAACCACTCGCCCAACTTTCACATTGGGCTTCCCGTCTGCGAGCCCAGACTATTTCGCCTGAAGCAGAATGTCGAGATGCGTTTCAGATCCACAGAGCGCACTACATCGCGCGGTATTCCATTCTCTGTTCGAAACAGTCACGACTCTGACCCGCGTCTATTCATGGCAGATCCTAGTCGCGCGACAATAGCATCTTTGGACGTGACGTGACGTGACGATGGTCCGGGCGTCTCCCCATCTTCTCAAGTGAAGGCGGAGGCCCATTGTACTTCACTCTTCTGGTATTGTCAGGCACTTTCTATTGTCCATTCTATTCTTCCACGAGAAGGACTCGGTGGCCTTCGACAGGCGCTGGCCTTTTCCTTTTCTTCCACCTTCTCATTAACCTCATCTTCAACACACCCGCAACCTTCATTACTGCGTCTTCGCTGGTCGATCGCCTATCACTCTCCTCGAACACCACTTCCCTGCGAATCAGCTAATACACCTAATATCAAGAACGGCACATGTTTCTGCGCCTCTACCCAACTGAGAAGTATGTGGGCGATGCGACTCATGATCGAGCACGGCAGCTGACTGTACCAGGCTCGTCTACGTTCCCTTCGAAGCAGACCGCATCGAAGCACTCTTCGCGAAGCTCAAAGCGACGAAAGCCAAGGGCGAGCACAAGACTGACAAGATGACGCTCTCTCCGAAGACGCTCTCGGGAGCTGGCTACATTATCCTCAACGGCATCCGGGTGATGAACATCATCGGGTTTCTCGCTGTCGTCACCGCAAGCGTGGTGATGCTGGTCAAAACCAATACCGACACACATCTCTTCTTCTTCGACGCACTTAGTCACGTCATCACGCTCATTTCAAGCCGTATGTTGCTTAGCCTGTTGCTAAAAAGCTCGTACTGACGACAGGCAGTGTTTCTCATCACGTCCGAGCTTCCCGTCTTCAAAGGCTACTTCGCGCGCAACTGGCCACTTCTTAGCCCCGCTCGTGGCTTCGTCACTCTCGCCATCGCCATGATAGTCATCGGCATCCAGGTCATGGGCAATCTCAACAAGAGCGCAGGGAGCCAGGAAGAGCTTGGTATGCCATTCTGGCGCATCGTGATCGGGTCTGGCATCCTCATCTTCATTTTGGGCTGGATCAATCTCTTGGCTGTGAGTTGGCTCGACATTCGATTCTTACGGCATGTGCTGACCCAGTTGCAGAGCTTCATCTTCCGCGACCGAAAGCAGGGCATTACTGCTCGCATGGTTCGCGCACATGGCGCAGTGGCAGTCCACAAGACTCCAATGTCTGTCTCCACCGAGAGCTGCGGCTCACGCACTCCGCCAGCGCCGGTACTCGCACAGTCGTACATCCCGAACCCCGTCACTCCGTCACCTACCAAGACAACAGCCAACCCGTTCCGCTTCCTGCACTCAGATCGTCGCGAGTCTGGTCTTCCATCGTACCACACCGCCTCCGCTGGATCGCCATCTGTCTACAAAGCCAACGATGGATCAATCTCGCCAACCAGCAAGTACTCTCGTGCCACAGTCTGCACCAAGAAGAAGGTCTTCGGCATGTTCGGCAGACAGAGTCGCCAGAGTCTCGCTCCCCCACTCCCGGTCAACGTCCAGCAGCCGGAGATGGAGATCTCACGACCTCAAGGCGTCAACCCACAATTCGCTCATCTTGTGCAGAGGCCAGACAGTGCCATGCACCCATCGAGAGGCACGAATGAGAGCGAGGCTTTCAGGTGGCGTGTGTGACGATGACAACCTCGTCGGCGGCATTTCGTATTCTCTTTGTGTCATGGGCGGCCCACAGGATGAGAAAAAGGTTGTATCAGCGCACTCGCTTTCTTGCTGCGTTCATTAGCGAGATACCCATCGATCTTTTCGGCCTCGATATGAGAGCCTGTAGTACGTTCGTTTATGCAATAACGACGCAACGAAAGTTCTTTTCAGATCACCTCCGGTCAATGGCCACGTATCCCTCAGCTTCAGAGTCTTCCTTTCCTTGTCTCTCGCCGCTACTCTTCAACCCCAATCTCTCTTCCACAACCTGCACAATCTCTTTCCACTCCCTCATCGCCCCTCCGCCCTTATCCCCACAAGCCAATCCCTTATCAATCGGCCTCAAAACCTCCACCCACCCTCCATTCCTCACATTCCACTCGCCCTCCAAAACATCCAAATGTCTCTTCGTCACCGGATGATTCCACATAGCCGTATTCATCGCCGGCGCAACCACAATCCCCTTCTTCCTCGCATCTTTCACGCCTTCAATCCCCGCAGCATAAGGCAATCGAATCCCCGGCCTAGCCTCATCAATCATCCCCGTCGTATCCCAAGCCCTTGCAACGGAGTATACCATGCTATCGCTCATGCCTAATGCGATTTTCGCTAATGCGTTTGCGGATAATGGAGCGATGACCATGAGATCTGCCCATCGGCGGAGTTCGATGTGGAGGATACTGTCGCCTCGGACCCAGGGTTTGCGCCATTCGTCTGCGTCGAGGTAGAGGCCGTCGACATTGGGGAGGTGGGAGATTGATGCTAGGGAGGGTTGTTCGGAGGATTGGGATTGGAGGAATTCGCAGGCGGAGGGGGTGAGGAGGACGCGGATTGAGAGGTTTTTGTGCGTCGAGAGTGCGGAGATGATGGAGGGGAGTTTGATCGTTGCGACGCTGCCAGTTGCGCAGAGGAGGAGGTGGTGTTTGCCGTCGTTGATGTGGTCGGAGGCTTTGAGGATGGGTGGAGGCGGAGGGAAGTCTTTCTGAGGGTCTCGTGTTCCTTGAGCTGAGGTCTGTTTCGCCGGAGTCTGTCGCTCTTGCGTCTCCTGTTGTACTGGCTTCTCCCAGAAGGGAGGATCTGATTTGAACAGTTCCGGATTTCTGTTTGCAACATAGGTGAAGATAGCAGCGATGGCTAGAAATGTGATGAGAACGGCGGCCTGGGGCAGTTTCCTGAGAAGCTCGGCAAGAGCCTTGTCCGTCTCTTCCCAGGCCATGCTGACCTACCTTGACCTCTCAAGATCTCAAAGATAGAGACCTCCTACAAAGTACAAAGAGGTAGACGTATGGGGGATTTCATATTAGTCAGGTGAAGCAGTTTTGATAGACGATCCTTGCGTCATCACCGCGTCCTGTTTGTATACTTGAGCGAAATCATGCCAAAGCTACCGAAACACTCCAAAGCTTCGCCGGACTACTATCATTGACAACTACACACATCCACCATGTTCTCGAGAACAGCATTGTCGGCCGTATGCTATTTGACCGCACCTTCGGAACTTTCTGCACGATGCTAACGACAACTTCAGTTCGCCGGACAAGCCCTTCGACCGCGTCGCAACCCATTGCTCTCGCCACGCTTCGCGCAACTCCAAAAGTCCTTTCTCTCGACCGAAACTCGTCAGGCGATCGATAAGGCTGTCGCGTCAGCTCCAGTAGTGTTGTTCATGAAGGGCACACCAGAGACACCACAGTGCGGCTTCTCACGAGCCAGCATCCAGATTCTTGGACTGCAGGGCGTGGACCCGTCGAAGTTCACGGCGTTCAATGTGCTGGAAGATGAGGAGTTGAGAGCAGGTAAGGATATGTCACCACGGGAGCGGAGGGTTGGCTGAATGCCGAAGGAGGAAGACGCATTGGAGCAGACAGAGGGCCCGAGCACTGACACAATACAGGAATCAAGGAGTACTCGGAGTGGCCAACGATACCACAGCTCTACGTGAACAAGGAGTTCGTTGGAGGCACAGATATCATGATGTCGATGCATCAGGATGGCAGCTTAGCGAAGATGCTGGAGGAACAGGACGTGCTCGTGCCAGCGGAGGAGAGCGACGGCAGCAGCAGCTCATAAGAGACACAGACACCATCAAATTCTGTACATTGCTTGTCCTTGGTGCGTGTACCAAGTGCAAATGTGCTGGCTGTTCCTACCGTTCATGCACATGAACGAGCCTGCTTCGGAAGTCGCGCCGAGCCCTGTGATGCCTTCCATCCCGACTTCCTGCCAACCTTCACATTCTTAGAGAACTGATATACAGGACAGCGTCTCACTAACCAGTGTCGCGCTTACATTTCACACCCGCAAGATGGCAGCGACTGCCAATCACCGCGCCAAAGGCACCCGCGTCAAGGAGCCACGCGTCAATGGAACGACTGCCAACGACAAGGAAAACGTCTCGCGGCAGAAGGTGAAGAAACAGAAGAAGCGCAAAGAGGCTTACAACGTCAATGCTATCTTCGACCAGGCCGAACGTGAGCGCAAGAATGCTCACCGCGAGAGCCCTCGTGATGTCCTTTCACCAAAGTTCACTGGTGTGGAGAAAGCGTCCCTCGGCAAGTTTGGAGTGTTCTCTCGCGTGAAGCAGAAGGCAGAGACGGGCGCGAGGAACCAGTCGGTTTCCACTCCCGATGTAGAGGCCTTACATGACTTCGCCAAGCAGAAGAAGGGCCTGCCGCAGTCCTTCGGTATTGTTGGTGAGCGTGCTTTGGCTTTCCCGCAGTTGCGTCGCTGACAACTTACACAGAGACTCTCGAGCCGTACATTCAAGAAAGCACTTCAGCTTGGGCACGCAAAATGGAAGACTCTCGCAAGCAACTGGACGCAGCACGAAATGGCGTAGATCCCGCGACCGGCCGCTCACTGAACAAGTCTGGTGTTCCCAGCCGAGAGGATTTTGATGCTCTCGCTCAAGAGATCGAGGAGACCAATCGGCCGTTCGAAGACGGACATCTCATGATGCGATTCAAGAATCCAGACGACCCAGCGAATCACATCATCAAGGAAGTACGCATTGGGGACATCACTGACAGATTCTTCAAACGCTGCGCTCAGCACAAGGTCAAGCAAAAGCAACTGGACGAAGAGCATGAAGCCATCGAGGAAGAAATCGCCCAGCTGAAGCAGGAAATCATCGACGATGCTGCCAAGGCTGCCAAAGACATGGAGAAGCACGCGAGGGCTCTCGAGGAGGAAGTCGCAGCGATTGAGGCCGATGCCAAGGCTGAACGCGCTGAGCTGAAGGAACAGCAGAAGAAAAATACTGCCTTGCTGAATAAGAAAATTCAGGAGCTTGTCGACATGTTCTGATGGAGTCAGCGCTCGGGTGGAAGGGACTAGATGAGTAGAGATTCTGGCTTGGGACGCATCATACTAATTCGTGCACATGGCGTTCTGCTGTCGCATCCAATGCATTCTTCATATATTTCTACCAAACGACTTCTCAGATCGCTCTGCCCTGGCACAAAAGGCCAAACCAATCACTCAAGCCAACACAAGTTTTTTTTTTTTTCTTTTTTTGTTTTCATTGTAAAGGTAAGTGGCCAAACTCCCTGCCGCCGCTGTTTCGCAATTGCTAACAAAAGTCGACTGCACGATGACGATCATATCTCGCATCCGCGATCTCTAGTGCGTATCCCAGACAGTCCTCTGCATCACAGTGGTGCCCATGTGCGAAGACTTCGTTCACTTCCCGGGGGCCATGAACTTCTTAAGCAGGCCCTTCTTTCAACTCAGCGGCCTGTCAGGCAAATCATTGCGGCACAACCTGATTTGGCGCCCCGTCTACTGGCAGATCAGGCTCCATTGCTAAGGAGAGAGCTAATTCGTCCAGCGAGTGCCTCCTGTCGATATACGGATCATCCTCTCTGTCCGGCGTCCGCATTCTCTCCCAAAGCCAGTATCTTAGGTGCTCTATATTGCCTGTCCTTGCCATGCAATATGTCGTGAAGATTCGCGAAAGTGTCGGATACCGCAGGTTTGCTTGATTGGGCATCAGCATAAGACCATGGCCGCTCAGTGGATACCAATGCTCGAGGTACTGGACAAATGTCGCTCTGTCCTCCAGACGATCGATCTCGTGGACGGTATAATAATCCAGACCTAATAGAAGTGTCTTGATCAAACACCCCAAAGCATGCATGCCGGGATGGAACGGACCCGGCATCCTTTGAAGTCCCCACTCCTGCAGGTCAACATACATGTCTAGGAGCTGGCGGCGATCCTTGCGACGAAGCCAGGAGAAGATGTTAGCCTGTGCACCCTGTGGAGGATCCTGATTGGGGCCTGAAATATCGCTGACGAGATACCAAGGCATTCCATGGTTCATGCGATACGTTGACTCGGACAAGATGAAGACCTGGATACGGTAAGCAATTGGCAATACTCGTTGTGGCGCGAACATTCCCGCCTCCTCCCGAAGGTCCCCTTCTTCCGCGTTATCCCATAAATCGTCGATAAGGGCGTCGTGGCCGCCTTCCTGTTCATCATTTTCGATCAAGCGTTGTTCTGGAGCGCCGTCGCCGCCGTTATCCTCGTCTGCTTGCTGGTTTGGAAGAGGGCCATCTGCATCGTGGCCCCTGCCAGGTTGGTGGTCTGGAGCTTCCTCGTCTCCACCATAGTCCTCATTTGGGTTGTTGTCTATAACATCGCCGTCTGGAACAGGGTCGTCATCCTCATTGTCGTCCCCATCTTCGTCGTCGTCCTCATCTTCTTCGTCGTCTTCACTCTCCTCGTCATCTTCCGGCTCGTAGAGTGGATTAGGACCATCGGGAGGACCGTAAAGTGGGCAAGGAGCACCTTGAGCCCAGTGACCCGACTTCGGCCTCGCTCTCTGGCCGCATAAGTAGCAGAAATGGGTCCCACAACTGTACTGGCAGGTCATATGATTACAAGCGTCTGACAGCTCGATCACCCAGCGGCAGCCCGGACAGAATTGATAATCCCTTCCACGCCTTAGACCCTCCAGCGCTTTCTCTACCGTCTCTTTCTTCACGCATTCATGCTCAGGCCACTGCGTCTTGTCGTTACGCGATTCTCCTATCATTGCATCACATTTCCAACAAGTTCTCGCTCCACATGGACATATCATGAGGTCCGCAAAAGCCCCATCCCGAGGACCCAGGAATCTAGCGCAACCGTCTCTGGCGCAATACAGTCTGTTCTCCGGTAGGTATTTCAGCTCGTTAAGCTTGTACTTGAAAGCATGGTAGAACGCCTCAGAAAATAACCAACAACACCCTTCGAACTCGATATCTTTGTCGCCGAACTTTGGCCTTTGCTGGATGCCAGGTCTCACGAAGGCTTCGAATTGCGATCGGAAACCACCTGGAGCATCGAAGCATGCGGGACAGCAATAATATTCGTTTATCCGAATCCTGCGTCGGCCGCTTGAGATTTGGTCGCCGCATACTACGCAGTCTGGAACGGGAATGAATGGATTTCTGGCAGTGGGAAGACCGAGGTCAATCTTGTCCATGTCTTCAAGAAGGGTGGGCTCTTCTCCAGGATGCATCGATCGATCGTTGGAGCTGCTCTCAGAAGCTGCTGGCAAGCTTTGTACGATTTCGCTCTGATAATACTTGGATGTAATCTTCCTCTGGTTTCTGGGTTGCGATGCTCAGTCAGTACTGATATCTCTGCGACAAAGGACGAGGTCTCGCTGTCTTTAATAAAAACCTCGTCGAAATTTTCAGCAGGCAACGCACTTAAATTTTGAGGCCACTGAACTCACAACTGAGGCACATACCGGTACGCACGGATCACCGGAGTCGCGATCAACGGTACCGATGACTTGCGGAGTAAGGACGTACGGATTCTTGTCCTTCAGAGCCACGGAGCTCTTGTGGAGTGGTGCACACTTGCAGGGTGTGAGTTTCGGGTGTGCAGGCACTGGCAAAATAAAATTCACCACGTGAAAAAGGGGGGCTTCAGAGCGTCGCCTTGGCATCGCTCCAGCTGGATTCTATTACCTAGGAACCATGATTCTGAGGTTCGGCTTCCTGTGCACTCTGGCCCAGACCTGGAGGCCCTTTCTATCTTCATGCTTCCACGCCTCAGCAACTTGCTGCAGCCTCACATGTCGCTTGAGGACGGCGTGGTTGAGCTCCTCCGCCAAGCGCTCGAGATGAGAAATTTCGATCATCTTAGAGACGTATCCTCCTGGGGCATCCAGATCTCTCAGCCACCACTCCAAAAATGTCAAAACATTGCACAACAAGCCGCAGACTTCCTGACCCAACTTGCTCTTGTCCCAACGGCCATACTTCAGTACACTCGATAGACTACGATTCGCGAACTCGGCAACCCGAGCATATGTCCATGTCAGGGCTATCAGACGATAGAAGTCGTATCGTTGATCCCGCAGAACAATTGTGGCCCGCGTTGCGAAATCTTCATATCGTTGCAGAACTTTGACGAGCTCTCGAAATGGTTTTCGATGAAGAAAGCGATGTCGGTGCCAGATGTACTTTAGATCTGTCCATAGGCCAGGACGGGGAGTTCTGGAGGAAATTTGCCAGTTGATAAGGTATGGGGTGTGATGCACCGTGTTGCAAAAGTGCGAGGCTTCGATGAAGATTTTCTCGATGTTGATTGTTATGTTGCTGGAGAGCTCAGTGCGAGAGTATGGTGACATTTTACAAATAGGCGTGAATTTGCGATTGATGGAACGAGCTTTGGGGACGAAGGCGTCACGAACGATTCAAAGGGTCGCCCAACGAGGAGCGAAGGTGGCGCGATGCAATGTGAGACGGATGCATGTCTCCGGAAATGTTGCTTGGCGGGCAGTTGCTGATCAAGCTGCAAGTCTCAGAGTGCGATCTACTGAAGGCAATCAGAATCATGCATATGCTTCAAGTTTCGACATACACTGACTAACCTACTCTGTGCAGGAATGAGTTAGCATCTTTCCCGATCGATGCTGAATTGAAGCGCTGGCCCAACACCGATGACCGGAGAGCGCAGTGTGTTAATGCCTCAAAAGAAGCAGATCTCCAGATGATTGCTGCCGCGGCTTGATCGAGTGCGCGAAGCCTGCAAGGAGATCACTACAGGATGGCCATGACTGCCAGGACCTCCAGCGCTGCATGCGCCCGTGAATGCTCGTCTTTCAATGTCGCCCAATAATGGGGCACACGAAAATCTGACGAACTTCTTTGTTGCACAGTTACAGACTTCTTCCGGTGGCCCCATGTTAATCTGAAAGCTAACAAGCCGGATCCGGACGACATCAAAGGAAGCACATTAGCTGTCGAAAGCCCTCAAGTACAAGTCCAAATCGAAAAGCATGCGCAGACCACAGACGTACCTTGAGGTACGCCAAGACCGATTGGATACAGTATCAAGATCGCCCCACGATGGCCTGGTTCTCAGACGAGCACAATGCCATGCTCGAGGAGCGCTTGCACCTTCCTGCAGGATCAGCGCTCCAGGCCTATCAAAGTGACGATGTCCTCACAAGTCAAGCTCGAAGTATCCTGATTGGCATAATCGATGATTTGGCCTCTCCGCCACCAGAACTTCCACCCGCCACAATTGACGTCTTGATCGTCTACTTTGGTGAACTGAACGGAATGGCCGGTTGGGTATTCTACGATGAAGATTACTTCTTGCACGCGTTCGGTTTCAAAGCACCGTACTACGACGCCATTATAGGACCGGCGCGTAATTTCCGCGATCGTAAGAACAAGTTCAAGGCATTGCAGGAAGAAGCTGAGAAGGTCGTGTATGATTTGGACCCCGAGCCAAAGGTCATCATCGACGGCGTGACTTACGGAGCTTGGTTCACTCCAGAACACTACAAATGGCTCGAGCGCTTGACCGGACTTCCTGAGGGCCGAGTTGAACGGATTCTCCAGAATTGTCCGCCAGTGATTGCTCGGGCTGCAGAAGCTATCTTCGAAGAACCAGAAGAATCAGAAGAGCCTACCATCCTGGGCCGAGCCAGGTTCGGTGATGATTACCCAAGTGGATACGGCAGCAGCGGCTCAGGCGATAGACGCCACCGATCATACCGCGACGAGTATCCGGATTACCCATCTTCATTGCTTCCAAATGACGGTTATGCCCCGCACAGGTCAGGTGGCGGCGGCGGTGGCAGCAGTAGCAGCGCTGCTCCCTGGGCTCGTCCTCCAGCATACACCCACGAAAGACATCCCGGCCAATTCTACCCACCACCATATACCACCGAACCCCTTGGACCACCAGAACGCCCCACCGGTCGTAGGCCTGGAGAATTCTCTGATGGTCGGGGTATCATTGGTGGTAGCTCCCCATATTCCACCGGCGGCAGATTGAACCCAAACCCTGTCCGCAGCACCGGAGTCCTAGGCGACAGATATCCCAGCTCGTCCCGTGATGACGGTCTGCTTCCTGGCGGACACTGGACTGAAGAAACTGCCGGTCGCAGTATCTATGGTGAATATGGCAACGATGGAAGATACCCATTCCGTGACCCTGGTGTTGGACCTGGTGCTCGCGAGGCCAGACGTGGATTTCGCCCAAGTCCTCTGGGCGAAAGATCGCCTCCTAGAGTCTCTCGTTCCTCGGGACTGTCGCGACAAGGAGTAATCAGAAGACCTGGACGCGGGCTCGGAGGCGAAGAGAGAACTGGTTCTGGATCTGGAAGGCGCCCGGAATTCATCAGCGGCATGTATTCACCACCAAGAAGTCAGTCGGGAAGCATCTATGGTGGGATCAGCCCACCAAGGAGGTCGAGGAGGAGCAGCAGAGAGCGCAGGTATAGATTTGTTGCTCCAAGGTATTGGTGAACGTGAAACAGAACTTGTAATTTATGGATAGCTACGAACGCCAATACATGCAGTTGATTTCGTTTTGCTCGTTTATCATGCATGGCTTCTGGATAAGCGCCTAGTAATCGTCGCCTCTCGACACGACTTCCTTGACGTTCGGCCTGAGCAGGATCGTGTGCTCGTATTGTGCAGTGTAGGATCCCTTGATATCGACAAGTGGCGGGTAGTCCTGCACAATGCCGCTCTGAACCAAGTTGTTCAGGCCAAGCAGATACTTCTCGTGTCCAAGACGATCCAGGTATCGTCGACAGAACGGTAAAGTGCCGAAGTTCTTGTCGATCGACTTGAGCAGTGTCTTGGCGCTTGCTACTCTGAGCGCCACCTTTGGCGCATCTGCAATCTTTGCGTAGTGCGAAGTCTCCATGTCATCGCGAACATAGCCCTTTCCAGTGGACCCAAATGTCTCAATGGCGTATGTCTCGCCTTCCTCCATCTTCTCATTGCCTCCACCCTTCACGATTGGCACGGACTTGCCCGATGAGCCACCGTGAATGCTGTATTGGCTGATCGTGTGACCGTTCAAGTTGCGAATGGCCTTGACTGGGAATGTCTGCCCGTTGATCTCCACCTCGTAGGACTCCATGGCTTCCTGGATACCCTCACCGATTTCTGCCATTCTGGCATCGATACCTGCAAGTCGGATACCAGTGTTAGTGGCATCCTTAACAGCTGCCAGCAAGTTGTCGTATTGTGGCTGGAATGCGACTGTGAAAGCTGAGTCCACGATTCTTCCATTGACGTGCACACCAAAATCCACTTTCATGACATCCTCTTCTTTGAGAATCGTCTTGTTGCCGGCATTGGGCGTGTAGTGTGCTGCGCAATGGTTGAGCGACAAGCCAGTCGGAAAGGCCACGCCTCCGAGTAGGTTGTCGCCCTCCTCCAGACCCATATGTCCAGTCAAGTGGCGAGTTCCGTTCTCGATCGTCTCCGCGATCTCGGTAAGAGACATGCCAGGCTTGATGACCGATTTGGCATATTTCCGCACTTCACGATGCACCTCTGCTGCCTGACGGTAATCGGTCAGGTAATCTGAGTTCATGCGATCAAGATGGCGCTTCTCCTCGCTCGTGGTTCGATATGCATTATCATTTTTGTATTCAACTTCCTCGCCAATGGGATATGAGTTGTCTGGGAACAGATCTGAGACTTTGCGAGTGGGTGGCTTGGTTTGCGCCTTTGCACCTCCTCCGGGTGTTGACGAGGCACCAGCCTTCTTCTTCTTGCGTGGCTTTCTCTTTTTCTTTTTCTTTGCTGCTCCCTCGCCTTCACCATCGCCGCCAGCGTTCTCCGCCTCGTCGGCCTCGTCGTCGTCGGATTCGCCCGCTTCTACATCGCCGTTCGCTCCGGTTGGTGCTGATGTGCCGTTCTGTTTCGCAGGTGCTTCTGAGCCGTTCAGTTTCAGATCGGCCAATTGGCCTTCTGCATCCACAGCAGTCATTTTCGCTGAAGTGTGACCAGCAGTGGTCGTGTTTGAACGATGATACTTTTGCAAAGAAGTCGAGGGTCTCGTGCCGCTAGCGGGGCATCCTAGCCCTAGCCGATGATCCGTGCGATCCTTTTGAGGCAGGTGTGCCGAGTGCATGTGAAGGTTGAACCGCGTCTTTCCGCCTGCCCACACCTACACCTTTGAGAGATATCCATGCTCTGCTGTGTACTGTTCCCACCTTTCTTCAAAGCTGCAATGGTGTCTCAGGCCCAACACTCTGCTTCCGAGAATCATCGACAGCCTCACGGAATCGCGGGCAGGTGCTCACAAGCCCTGTTCGCGAACGGAGACCGCAAGGTATCACAACGATGAAACCATAGGCAGTATTATACCACTTCACGGCTCTTCACCAGCCTGGCTCGTATTCCACTCACGACAGTCAATACTCTTTGCTCCAGTTTCATACGCGACAATCCGGTCCTCAATTGCTTTGTGCAGAGTTCTTAGTATGCGTAATCCGTCCCCAGGCAATTGCAGCAGCCATCGGGGAGTCCATGTATATCAAATGCCACCAGGACTTCGGGCTAATTTGTCTATGAGACCGTTGTCAAGACGAGAATGCCTGCGTTGGGAGCAGTATCCTGATTACGTTCAGCAGATGCCTTCGTGAACAGCAGCAATCCACGGAGGGCAAAGCTCTGCGGTCGCCTCTAGCTGCATCGACGTCGCAATATCAGTCATGGCTCGGACGGTACGACAGTCGACTGCACTACTACGGTCACTAGACAGGAACGAGTTTGGTACGTGAGGTAGTTCAACTTCCCCTCGCGTGGCCGCCATGTGCGTCAGCCAAGCGTCCATTCTATGACCGTACATGAACACAAGCAAGCAGCAGTCGAAAGCTTTCTTGCTGCACGTTCAGGACCAAAGGAGGACTTCGAGATGTACTCTGCATTGGCCTTGGCCTTGTTGGCTGTTCTGCAGCCAGCTTTTGGTCAAGATGTTTCTTCCGCTGACGAGCTACCGTTTACCATTTCACCAGACACGATCGAAGGTGATCCCGACTACATCCCACCTTTGTTCCCAATCCTCCCATTCAATCAGTATGCTCAAAATCCGATCTTATCTCCAAACCCGGCGAACAACTGGGAGTCTGCTTTCCTCTACAATCCCACAGCAATCGTCCTAAACGAGACCATCTTCCTCCTCTACCGTGCCCAAAACGCATCCAAGACCAGCAGCGTTGGCCTCGCCTGGAGCACAGACGGCTACTCTTTCACCCGTCTGAACAGTCCCATCCTCTACGCCACAGAACCCTGGGAAGCCGGCGGAGGCACAGAAGACCCACGCATCACCCGCGTCAACGGAACATTCTACCTCACCTACACCGGCTATAACCTAACCTCTCCACAACTCTGCATCGCCACATCTACGGACCTCCTCACCTGGACAAAATACCCTCCTCTCTTCCCAAACTGGCAAGATGTCGCATACTCCGACATCGACATTCCAGAACCACGTTTCAATCATTCAAAATCCGCCGCTATCACGAATGAGAAAGTCGATGGGTTATACCATATGTACTGGGGCGATAGCTTCATCTACAAAGCTACGAGTCCAGATATGTTGAATTGGACAACTTTGTCTGCTTCGCAGTATTTCGCTGAGCCTGTGTATCCTTGGGAGAATCGGCTGATTGAGCCTGGGCCGGCACCGATCAAGACGAGAGATGGGCGATGGATTTTGGTGTATAACGGTGCAACGTCCGGAAGGGTTGGGTATCCGGGTGCGCAGTATGGGGTTGGGCAGATGTTGGTTGATCCTTCCGGGGCATTCAGGCCAACGGTCAACACGAGTCTGGAGAATCCTGTTACTGGCGGCACGTATCAGCCTGCGTTGAGAGATGGGCCGGTGGCGAGGATCGAAAGGCCGATGGTGAGAGCACTTTGTGCACTGTGATTACGCTTGCTGATGAATGTGACAGGTCTTTCCCAGCACGCCGGAAGAGACAGAGGGACAGGTCAATCGCGTGACCTTTGCAGAGGGCCTGGTGCAGTTTAAGGGCAAGTGGTTCCTGTACTTCGGTCAGGCAGATAGCACATTGGGTGTTGCTGTTGCGGATGTGCAACCGCTCTATGGGAATGAGGCGTGAAGGGAAAGGAGACGAGGACCAAGAATAAATTCATTCTGCTTTGCTATTGGCCATGCTTGACGATGTCAACAAGTATGATATCGACCAGACATCTTGCTTCAACGATTCATCGCAGACATTGTCCTCCGCGACATCGTGTCAATCAACCCACCCCAAATCAGCGGCCGATCTGTGTATCGCCACTCGATCGCCTTTCTACTGTCTTGACAAACGTTCCCCGTCCCAAGTCCCAACCTCTACTGTTCCAAACGTCGTACTCCAAGCTTCAATCGCAGATAATACTATCAGCGAATCGCCATTCGTTTGCCTCCCTACGCTTCTGGCAAGCTTCCTTATCCTTGTCGTTCTCGTGCTCATGGCACAGACACCAGTCGTTGAAGGCATTGTCCTTCCAGTCCTGCAGGGAGTGGGAGGTGGACGTGCAGGTCTTCTGCCCCGAGGATTTCATATCTACGAAGCATGCACCGCAGTTGGCTGCAGCAGCGCGTCGCTCCAGTATCATCGTGATCTCTGCGAGGAAGTGATTTGGGCAGCTCGCGTTGAACTCCACAGTCTTCTCCCTTGTAGCCAATGCAGGCATGTCGAGTCTCATGTACACCAGTAGGCGGCGAATCGGAGAATCTTGCTGCGTCTTGCTATATACCTTGGCCAGCACAAGAGTTGGCGGGAACTTAGCGATGACTGGATGCTTCTGGTAGAACTTCGTTTGCATAAGCTCGAGGATGCGTTGACGGTAGCCTGGTGCGCTACAGCTCTCGGCAAATATGTAGCAGTCGACAAGAAGAGACCAGGACCAGTGTGACGCATCAGTCCGCGATGGTATAGTCTGGCCGGGGATCTCGTGTTTCCAGACGCCAAGCTCTACTAGATCTTTCTCAACATACGAGTGGAATGTTGAGAAGATCCAGGGGTCGACGTTGGACACGGCGATCTGCTTGGACGCACTAGTGTCCTTCTCTGCATTGAATAGGACACTTCTGTAGTGTTTTGAGCTTTTCGATAGCTTCTCGCGGTCGAAAAGGAAGCACTGTTTCGCTGTGCCGTTGGTGCTGTAGCTGATGGAGAACTCGACTTTTGAGTGGTCATCTGTTGAGCGTTCTCCAAACTGAGCAACAGGTCTCTTCCGTGAAGTGTCAGACATATGGCCTCCACGTCCACGGCCAGCCTGTCCTCGAGAAAAGGGCCCTGAGCCGCGTGGAGGAGAGGACGCGATCTTTTGGCTAGGAAGCCGGCTCGGAATTCGTCCGCATGCGTTTACGAATGCTTGAAGCCGATCGTAGACTTCTCCGTCGGACCAAGTCGTGATCATCTCGAGGTCGTTGGCTTGGGAGGACAGCTGCTGCACTATCCGACGCGGGTTCTCCAACATGAGAGCGATGGAGTCCTGCGATACCTCTTCTCTGCAACGAGTCAGTGTCTAAATCGCTCATGGTGTTCACATTGGGCAGCTTTACCCGATGACTTGTGCCTTGAGATCCATTGCCGGCACTCCTAGAAGAAGTTAGTCGCTCGACACTTGTTCATCGGCCTCACTGGAGATTACACGAACCTTTGAGCGAAATCGAGACATAGTCGTAGAACTTTCCTTTCTCAGCCGTCTCATGAGGCAATGTTGCCTTTCCTGCCCAGAATTCGGATGTCGCTATGGTCGGTTTGCCCTGGGACAGGCTGCCAGTAATGACCTTTACTTCCGCGCAGTCCCTCAGTCTGACGGAGCCTTCCACCGCAATCGTCTTTCCGGACCCCTTGGTGAGAACCGAGATCTCGAGAGAGGGGTTGTTTCCGGCGGAGTCCAGGAGCGGGCAGATGGTGAAAGTTCGATCTTTCTTGAAATAAGGGTCGCCGATCTGGTAGAATTTGCCTTTCTCCTGGCTCGAAGGGAAGGCGAGCGCGGTGGGCACGAAGGTGTGCAGTACTGGGTGGTCGGTGGTCCCCATCTTTTCGCCGACTCGAGTTGTTGATGAAGCCTGGAAAGTTGTAGGTGGAAGAAGTCTAATGAATGGTGTGGGCGACTTGTTTGCTGTAGGCGCCACGCCAAGCCCTCACCCCAGAGCAAGTGAAGCGGACACTTTCGCTGCTAGACTCACGGAAGGAAGAAGTTTGGTCCAGAGTGAGTCGGAATGAAACATCGCTGGAGCCCCACTCTCTGCTTCTGCGTTCTGATCAAGTGCCACGAAGTGTCAAGACGCCAGGAATTTCTGTCAGTGGACACCTGGAGAGTAGCTACGACAGCGTGCTGACTCTCTCGCACTGCTTCGCCTGAGTTCCGCGAGACATGCAGCCGGAGCAGACATTGTTAGAAGTCATTCCACCAGAAAGGCTCAAGCGTACTGCTTTTGAAGCATTCGGCCAGCTCTGAGCTCGATGATACCTACCTTTTGAGAGCACATGTTTAAGTGTTCTCACGTGAATGGCAACAGTGTACCAACTCTCCCACCGACGGACCTGTGCTGACTTGGCGGATCCCAAATTTGACGCCCTACCGGAGAAGGGGTAAAACGTACGGAAGCACGCGGCCTCTCCGAGATCGTTGTATCTGAGCGCCATTGTACCTATGAAAAGAGCAGATAGTGTCTGGAGAAATTCGGCGAGAGAGGTGAAAGCGTGCTGACTCTCCAGGTCTCCAGGCAATGGGACGAGGATGACTTATGATTTGCCTCTGTCTCGTCTTATGTCCCAGGGGATCAGTGACAAAGAGTCGTGCGGCATGTTTACAATCGCGCAAGTCATCTCCTTTGCTCCTTGGCGTCTCTCGCTGCTTTCTCACTTGGACGGAACCAGATCGCCAGATACACTGCATCTTACTTCTAGCCATAGGACAGAGACTAGACCCGCTCTGTTCCCTCGGACGGATTATACTTCGTCTGCCAGGTGCCGTTCTTGATGTCTGCCGCTAACAGTGCGCTCCAGGGGTGAGATCTGAAGCCGGGGGCCGGCGCCTGCTTTTTCCAATCCAGGCACTTCCAGTTATTCTTGGAAAGCGTTCGAGTAGACCTGCTACATCAGCTCGATGGTCTCTCTGATATGTGCGAGTCTGCTTTCCCGTAGCGGTAGAAGGCGCGCAGAAGCGCGCTGTTGTTTGCCTCAGTTTCACCTGCGCCCCTCTGCAGCCAACGCCACATGTCGCCACTGGCACCAGCAAATATAAATTTGTCAAAACCTCACCAGCCACTCCAAAAGCCTTCGTGGTTTAAGTAAACTGCGACTGGTTCGATCATATGAAGTCACCGCATTCTCTTCTGAGAAGGTGCAATGGAACGCCTAGTAGTATGTCCTTGCAAGCACACGTGATCCAGAGAACTTCAGATTATGGCTCAAAGCTTTTTTTTTTTTTTTTTTTTTTTT